GAGTTTTTAAAAATATTATTTTAGAAGTTTGTACGGCTAGTTTTTTTTTTTTTTTTCATAAAAAGAACAATTTCTCTCTCCATTATCTTGTACATTACGTCAGCTAAACAAAAAAAATATCCGACAAGTATGATCATAATATATGTATTAACCACAAAATATTTAATATATTACAAACTAGTGCCCCTATGAGGGAAATCCATTACATGATCGATTATTTGGAAAACGGTCGTAAAAGGAACGTTTAAATATTATATAAGCACACAAGAGGGTGGAGAAATAAGAGCATTGCGCACATAAGAAGCTATGTATTTAAAAAAAAATTATTTTCAAATTGCTTTTTAAATGCTAAAACAAAATATGAAAAAATTAGGGGGGGAAATAGATTCTTAAATAAGAAGGGAAGAAGTTTGTAATTTGCTTATTTTTGCAAACAAAAGAAAGCTTATATAAAATTTAAATAGCTTTATATGAATGTCGAGGAGGTAACGAGTGGGTTCCAATAATTGCACAACATATTAGAATCATAGAAACATTAATTTATCGATAACCTTCAGTAAGGTAAGCATTTCTAAACTAGATTTTTGCAATATTCCACACCCCCCCCCAAAAAAAAAATTTTATCCCCCAATGTACAGCAAAATAAAACCAATAAAAAAAGTAAGCGTATACGTAAACATGCTCATTGTATTAAATTTTTTTAGCCATTTTTTCATCGATTAAAACGTTTATTGTTAATGCCACATAAAAATGTAGTTTGTAGATCAGGGAATTATATTAAAAATTGGTTCGCAGCTCCATATGAGAGATAATAAGTCCAAATGTTTGTAAGAAACGCATAAAATAATTAAACAAAGTAGTCAACAAATAACAAAATTATCCACAGAAATATTCTTAAAAGCATTTTAATGACGGGAAACATCGTCTGGCGAGAATATATTCTTATGAAAGAGAAATCGTGAGACATATGGCGAAGAAGAAGCAGAGCAGAGCAAAAATCAACAAGAAAAACTAGCCGACGAATCGCTCCACTGGGAACTTCCAGGGAATCTACAGCCAGTGGGGAAGGGGGGAAATGAATGGAATCCACCGCCAAGCATGAGCGATTTCCAAGTCAAGGTCACTTTGCCGATTCCATGTTATTACGGCATTGCGAACTCCAACCAACCGACTGCCCGAGTTCACTGGTAAAGACACGCACGTTTTTCGGAGATGAGGCAACAGGTTTTTCACACAAATCGCACATTAAGGGTAATCGCACTTGTAGCTAACTTACCTTGGTCATGGCAGTCACTTCCAACAATCCGTTGAGGTTACTTTCGGGCATCGGGGCGGCTGTTGTTCGGTGTCCGAATGACAAATTAACAATAAAACGGCGAAAGCTGGAAAAACTCTCCGATCTTGACGGAGCCGGCGTTCATGAAATAATCTGAAAGAACACCCCTGTCATTCGCGCGTGGTACCTTCCTCTCCTAATACCTAGCAGCGGGCGACAATCGAGCTCTGCCGCAGACAGCTACTATTCATTTGGAGGCACGCGAGGTTCTCTCTTTTTCATAGGATTAGGATAGGGGAGGGAAAAACACTGAGGAAAAATATGGGAGGAGAGGGGAAAAAAGAAAGTGGTAAAAAATAAGTCGCTAAGGCTTAATTCTGAAATGGTGCGCAACACGCAATGACAGATTTCTCTGACACGGCTAGGATACGTAAATAAATAATGAGAAATAGATCTATCACACTCTATTCATATATTGCATAATGGTTGAAAGAGGAATTTAATCGCATAATTGAACTTTATCGAATAAAATATAAAATTTAAAAGTTCCATTAATATCATATATATTGAAATAATAATCGATACTAATCTATTTCAAGCTACAAAAAAATAATAAACTTAATGCAACTAAACACATAAACCAGCATACATTCCGAGAACCTGAAAGTAATTGTAGCGTGTATTATTTATTTTTATTAAACTTATTTATACGATATTTTTTATTCGAGAAAATCGATCCCTAACTACAGATATTCAGCAATCATTCTCTAACTATATAACTTTACAAATACACATTAGAAGCCAAAAATTTAATATACGAGCGAGGAGAAATAGAAAATAAATAAAGACCACTACAACTACAATAAAAACCACCACAAAGAAAGGAAACACAAAAAATATTAAAGCCAGACCGTTTACTTGAAAAGAGATAAATTTTTTTTAAAATCGTATTCGTTTTATTACCATTTTTCTCAAGAGTAATTCCTGAAATTTTTAAAACATTTTCTCCTTTTCCTAGATTAAATAAAAAAAATTGTGGCCTTTAATGAGGGTATATATATATATATATATTTTTAATGATTTAATTTAGACAAGAATTCGAAATATATTTTAGGCATTGTACATAGCGAATTGTAGTAGAGGAATAGCTGTAAGATTTAAAAAGAAAAAAAAAATACAATGAATGAAAAATTAGAACGCGTTCAAATCTACACACTAAATCAATGAGCGCACATTTGATTTTTTTATTATCTTTTTTCTTCCTGCCTTCAAACTTTTCTAACCCTACCACTTGAATAGCTCTAGTCTCATTAACAGATTTATTAACAATCCTTTATTTATATTTAGAATTTCAGAGAAGTAATCCTATAAATAATGTTAAAAAACAAATTTAACATATAACTACAAATAACTAAATTATTAAAAAAGGAAAGTAAGGACTGTTTGAATTTCCTTGCGGTATAAAAAGATCTGTTTCTATCACTACACATATTTTAATACTCCAACAGGAAAGAAAAAAAAAAAACATCTATATACATATAATAACACTAAAATATCTGCCAATCCCCATCTTTGTAAAATGCAGAAAATTCATTACAAAATTGCAGGACAAATTACTTAAAATGCAGAAGAGTCAAGATAATTCAATTTTTTATTCCTACTGCTTCCAACATTACATTGGTATATAGCATTCATAAGAGGATATTAATATGTGATAAGTAATACTGAATGTTTATAGAATTTCGTTTGTTAATTTAGTAAAATTAATTATGTAAATTTTGATTGTGTTTACAGTCCTTTATAGACATATATCAAAAGATTTTACTGCACTCATCTATGAAAAATGTTTAAGAACTACAGTTATTATAAAAAATTTATTCTTCAATCTAATTGAGGTTTGTCGCTTTCCTACATTAAAAAAATGATAAATCAAATAGCTAGGAAAATTAATATTATCTTTAAACTGTATTGCAATTATAAAAAATGATTTTATATTTCTTCTTTTTTTAAAGCCTTATTTCTCCCACTTGAATTGGAAGAAACTTGCTATCTCTGGTTCTAATCATAGGGATTTTAATCAATGGTTGGTAAGAACCAATTTCAGCCATTCTGCACGATATCAATTTTGATCAGATTCAGCCCACTGAAATTCACCATTCAATTTATTTAACAAAAACCAATCAAATATGTAATCATCATTACTAGATGTAAACCAAGTTCACATCTGTCAAAATGTAACAAACACCAAAACTAATACAATTTTTTTTAAACAAAAGTCATAACATGAATAATCTAACACCAAGATGTATCATACCAACACATGTTTTAAATTTATGTTTACAAAAGCCTTTTTATATAAGTTGGATATAAGAAATAATAACATAAAAGTAATTTTGTTGATATTTCTTAACTTAATTGGTTTCGTAATTAATTGCGGAATGATTAAATAAAATAATCTTACTTATTTTGAATATTTTCAACCAATTTTTGATGGTTAAAACCACTTATAACCATTGCACTAGTCAAAATCAGTTTTCACTCATTAAAATATAACCTCCACTACTACAGAGGAACCCGTAATTTAACATAAATCCATTTATAAAATTTATGAATATCAAATTTAAAAACTCAATTTAGAATAAATATATCAATTTGATTTTAAAATCAAATCTTTTTCATTAACCAAATTCTTCCTCGGTGTATAAGTCTTTCTGTTGCATACACTCATGAAATCATACTCATAGAAGATATTATTAAAACAAAACTTTTAACAAAATTTAGTTTAAACGAACTTTTTTTGGAATTCTTACAGCTTAACATAGGACATTTTTTTAGTTTCTTTTGTTAGGTTTTTTCCATCTTGTAGAGCTATTTACAATGTCCTGGAAGAAATAGGTTTCTCTCATAATAAATCTAAAGCCTGCAAACTTTAAAAATTGAGAAAATTTTTCGTCTTGAAAATATTAAACTCTCATACACTAATTTTCCTGAAGATTCGAGATGTTTTAAACTAAATATTTATATAATATGCAGCTAACTTACTATTTTATTATTTTACCCTCAATAATACCTACCCCCTATCTGCAATCCTTATATTACAGAAAGAAAAGTTATTGACATTTTTTATTTCCTTTACTTTTTAATTGTAAGGAATACATATTATTTTTGGAGATAGTCATCTTTTATACTATATCCAGTGGAGATTGTCAGCCAAGTCAAAATTCCGGAAAATTTCTTGAGTAAAAAAAAAAAAAAAAAAAAATTTAAATTGAAAAATTAGAAAAAAAATTTAACCAAGTTTTTTTTTTCTTTCTTTCAATATTTCTTAGGTTACCTAAAATATTTTTAAAATTTTACACACACCTATACCATTTACACATACCTATGATGACCTGGAGAAGTAATTAAAATGTACAAATATGTCTTTCTTTCTTAAATTTATGATTATAATAACTATTTACTGATAAAAAATGAATATTAATCATGAATGTAAGCTTATAAAGTATCGGTCTCTCCCTTACAAAATAAACTGTGTTTTTAAGTTCCACCTTTGAAAATTTGATCTCCGGAAACAACCGGATCACTGTTAGCGAAATAACTGGATTTTTTCCGGAGCACAATCAGTCCTGCATATCTCGCACACAAAGCAACTTATTCTCTTGTAGATACATATAAGCAAAACTACACAAAAGAAATTAAGCAAATAAAATTTTTTATATCTTACCTTTATGCCACCTGTGCCAATAGATGAATTCCTGCAAAAAATAACAGCAAATTAAGTATAAAATTTACTATAAAGATAATTTTAAAGCAATAAATACAATTAGCAAATAATTATATACATAAATAAAAGTTTCCTAAAAAAACATATTAAATCTGACACCATTAGAGTGATATAATAATACACAGTTATTCATAAAAAAGCACAACTTAAAATATTCAGAAATGAAAATATTAGATTTGTGTCCAAAAATTTGCACAAAACATTTCAAAGGCGTTTTTCAATGCTCAAAGAAAATATCCTCAGTTCTAAACACAAGCTAATTTTAAATTTCCTCATTGCTGAAAATCATTATCTTTAATTTAAAACGGACAAATAATTTTGATATTCAACGTTTTGATTATGAATCTCTTAACCTAGAGAGATCTTTTATCCTAAATAAAAATCCTTTCAATAAATAGTTCTCGATTTTATATCAAACAATTTGCAACCTTGAAGTAACTACTAAACATTAAAAATTATATCACCTATACCTTACATTTTAACTGAACAGTTTTTCTTAATGTTCACATTTCATATCATTTTCCAAACTCAAACATAACTTCCCATAACTCAGAACAATTGGAAATATGGTATATTACTATTTAAAAAGCATTTCATGATAATTTTTTTAAAAACAGCCAAAAATACTTTTTTCTTTATTTAGTTAAAACTTTTTAAGCAGATTTCACAAAAGACAAAAATAACTCTGAGATTTAAATCTGGTAGCAGAAATCTGGGACAGAGTCAATCTGCTAAAGTTAAATTTTATATGTGATTTCAAAGCAGCCAGGCAGAGATTATTACTGTAAAGGATTAGCTTAATCCGACATATATTTAGCAAAAATTGGGTATTAAATATAATAAAGTTAAATGTAAAAACTTTGTTTCATAAAATTAATTTAAATTTTATACAACCCTATTTTAACTATGCCAAGAAAGACAAAAAACATATACATATAATCAACAGATGCAGTGATAATCTGCAGCCTAGCTGATGTTCCTGAGGGTCCTACTAGGGATTTAATAAACAATCCATGATTACAGTAAGAAGCAATCCCTCATTTATTCCCCCTTATTTACATGTTGAAGGCAACTCCCTTATTTACATGTTGAAAGCAAATATAATAACTTTTTTATAAACATTAATGCTTTAAGCGATATTTTTTTTTCCATCAGTAAACTTGGTAATATCTTTTTTGTCAGAGCAACAGTCCCTTGCAAGTCTTGGCTGCCTCAACAACTGACAAACCCAGCAGTCTTATAATATATTTGAATAAAATTAAATGTTCTTAATAGAATTCACGCAAAAATTTAAATTTTTAAAAAACATTTTTTCCCTTCATATCAAAAATTTATAATTCAAAAAAATAAGTTTAATATATATAAATATTAGAGAAAAGGTTGGTTGGTTTTTTTAATAATATCACGTAATACTAAAGTTCATTTTAAATAAATTCCAACAAAAAAGAAAGAAACTAATGCTCACAGAATTAAATATTTTAAAATAAAGAAAATTTATAAGGTTTACACAAAAATCAAAACAAAATCACACCAGTACAAAATAAGATTAATATTAATTTGGTACTAAACTCCAGACATTCTTTTCTCGATTTCTTGATCTATTATACATGGGGCTAACTGCCAAAAAAAACAATGGAAGAATAATTTGGATTTACGATGAAATGGGAACAAAATTGCACCAAAAAGCAATTGTTTAAATGGGCGATTAGAAACTCTAGAAACTCATGTTGTAACAATATAATAGCTTGAAAGAAGAAAAAAACGGATCGCAACGAAGAAAGACATCACAATTTGCAACAAAAAAATTATCGCTTAAATTTAAGATAAAATTTTAAAACGAATAAAACTTGTCAATAAGTAATTTTCTAAATGTGTTACTTAAAAATTACCTCATTGTAAAAAAAATCTGAATTTTTTAAACCACGTAGAGTATAGAGCAATAATAACTTAAAATAATTTAGAAATTAACTTTGATTTACATTGAAATCAACGCAAATAAAGCACATCAAAATGTGATCAATTAAATGTGTGAATTATAACTCACAAATCGTAATATTGTATTAAGTGAATTGGGATCTTAAAAACCACATAAAAATTAGTACGTAGCTAAAACTGCCAAAAAAAAAAAAATAGTTCCAACGCTTGTTCCATGGGGCCTGGACAAGAATATTTTCTACATTGGGACACACTTTTTTCATTCTATAACATGATCAGCCCATTTAATTCTTTAGAGTTCTATGTATTTGATTAAGTCGAATAAGCCATCAACTGTGCTCCTCCAAAAATAATTCTTAGTATTTGCCACTTGACTGCAAGAACATTCTTTTTTGTGTCACTGCCCATTTTACTAATGAGTAATGAGGTTTGACTAGATATTTATAAATTAAGAGCGTATGTTTCCCTTTAATAAAGTCTGATTTTAGATATTCCTTTAGTCCGTAAAAGCATTTGTTGGCAGCCTCAGAATTTCAGATGCGATGTTGTTGTCAATAATATCAGAGCTCAGACATGTAAAGCTATAAACTTTTGCTAATTTATGTGTACCAATATGCAGATGGGTAATAGAGTGTTATTTAAGTGCACTGTATGTATCTGGTTTTATTTAGGTTTTGCATTCAGGTATTAATTTTGTATGTATTAGTATGTATGTATCAGAATTTATTAGCATTATGTATTAGTTTTGTGAGCATTAGTATTTTTCGTGCATTAGTTTCATCTGGTGAACGCTCTGGAATTATCCTGTGTTCCGGAAATAAGACGAGAGACTAATAAACAACTAAAGAAAACATTTATTAGATTAAACAAACATCTCACACGCCCAGCATGCTCTCGTCGATACAGCTAGCAGTTGAAGAAAATATGTGGAAGAAAAAGCAATTATCGCATCCATGTCGTCACTTTTATACTCTGAAGATCTGCACTACTTCAGTTCGCTTCACCAATAGTAATCGCTACCACAGTGACGCCACAGTTTGTTTGTATCTGCATGCATTAATTTTTTTCCCTAGATGACTGTAACAGGGGTGATTGTGAGCCCAAGTCAAAATTCCGGAAAATTTCTCGAGTAAAAAAAAAAAAAAAAAAACAAATTAGATGAAACAAAAATTTAAACAGGGTTTTTTCCTTTTCCTCAATCTTTCTTAGTGTACTTAAAATATATTTAAAATTTTGCACATACTTATGTCATTTACACATACTTATGATAACCTGGAGAAGTAATTGAAATTTACAATCTTTCTATCTTGAGTTAATGATTATAATAACTATATACTGATAAAAAATTAATATTAATCTTGAATATAAAGCTTATAAAGTATCTGGCTGTCCAATACAAACAAATAAAATAAACTGTGTATTTAAGTTCTACCTTTCAAAATTTGATTTCCGGAAACTTCCGTGATCAATGCTTTTTTTAAACGTCTGGACCTTCGATCTCCGGAAACTTCCGGATCACAGTTAGCGAAAGATCCGGATTTTTTCCGGAGCACAATCAGCCCTGCTGTAAGATGTATTATACTTGGCTCCTTTTTGACTAGAAAGCCTGTTTCAAACCAGCAATTGTTCTTGGAATGATCTCAATATCATCAGCAAATGCAAAAATTTGGACAGATTTATTAAATATATTTCCTCTGATGTTGATTTTTGAACTTTTCAAATGCTATGTTGAAAAGTTAGTCTGACCAAATTCTAATTTTCATTTGACTGATTTTGTTCAAATTACGTTTTTTGCCATAAGAAAGCATATTTTATCGAACTTTTCTTAATTTCAGAATTACTTGAAAATTACTCTTACTAAAGTTATACTCTTTTCAATTTCAGAATTACTAGGTTACCAGAATAATTTTATCAACACTGAATAAATAACTCTAATTAGTTTCAATTAATACGAAAGTAAATTTTTAAAGATTTGAAAAAATTATTAGTATCAATTCAATCAAGTAATTTTAGTGGTTGATCCCTCAACTCAACATTTAAAAATTCTATGATATGATTACTGTATTGTTGATTGAAATCAACTATTTTTAAAAGAACATGAAAAAGAGGAATGAGAAATTGTGTAACTATTAAGTCCATTGTACAAGATTCTTGCTACTGCATTTACTTTAAATAATAAATAAGCTTATGTACTCTGAATTCATTACCATAAAAATATGCTAATAACTATTGAGTTACTTTTACATAGAATAAATGAATTATCAAAAAGGTTTGAACAATGAGTAATATGGGTAAGGCAGTATGTCTGAATCTTGAATATAATTAATAGAATCAAAACTTAAAACTATCAAATTTGCAATCTCTACTAGTATTTTTTAATTAAAATAAAAAGATGTAAATGCTGAATCCAAAATCCAAATGTTTCAATTCTTCAACAGTATTTAAAAATTTCATTTGTATTCTTAGAAAATGGGATGTACTTAGCACACACTAAAAATAGACACATATATATAAAGAGAAAAAAAAAATTTTTATAAGAAAAGTCAGGATTATCAAGGCAACTACGAACCCTACATTAAGGAGTAAGGAACTATTAACTGCTCTTCTGACCACTATTGGGACAATTTCTCCCATATTGTGGCTATCCTAATATTTTTGAGTACCAGGTATCCTAATTCATCAGATAAAAAGAATGTTCATTCAGAGATGGTAAATGCTTGTATCTAATTCTGTAACTTAAAATATCGTTTCCATTAATTAATTAGCATATTTATGTCACACCCTTAAATTATTAAAATTGAATCTTAATATGTGAGGATCTGTTTACTAAATCAAAAGTCATTCAGAATGTTCTGACTGCACAATGCTTTTTAATCCTTAATTTTTTTTTACTGAATTGATACTATAGTTTTGTGTATTCAGGTCTCCATTTTCTTATGGATCTCTGCAGTCGTTATGCTGACACCAAATGAAAATTCCTGAAAGTTTTATGTGCAAAAACTTGATAACAAGATATCAATTTATATTCATATTTAACACAATATTTTGAACTAAGATTTATAATTAAATTTAACTTAAATTACCTATCAAAGAAGAATATCACCCTTTTACAGCAACTAATTTAAGAAAAAACTTAGTTATTGCTAGAATCGCGATATTGGATTTTAAGAATACAAAAAATACAAATCAATAAATAAAAAAATGCAAATCAATGGTTTTGAGATAGCAGAAAATCTGCAACAAAAAAAAAATTCATATGGCCTGCTTTTTGTTTCCAGACCTAGAAGGATGCTATAAAAAACCCAGAATTCAGGCACACCCCTGGAATACAATCACACCTGCAATGTAAACTATTTAATGCAAATAATTATATTTTTAATACTTACACGTCATTTCGAGGAACATCACCATTTCTCAGAATGAAATTGTTGCTATTAGGTAAAACAGGCTTTATCTCAGCTCTGTAACATAATTAAAAAAAAAAAAAAAACATTAACTTATCAATTAAAGAAGTCCTTACACAAAACTAAAAGACATCACTGAAAAATCAGTGAAAATATACTATGAACTTTAGAGAGGACACAACTTTACAAATACAGCAAGACAGTAAAAAATAGAGAACTGATTTGTTATGCCCCTCCATCAGATGTTTAGAGTTTTTTTCTCACCTACAACTTTGGGCACATTTTTATTGGCATATTTTCCTCAAGTCAACATTCCCAGGCACTATTCAAAACATTTGCCGAAAACTAAAAGGAATAGTCCTGCACTAAAGATTTTTCAGATCACTTTTAAGTTTATTTTGGTATTCTTAATTTATTCAGGCAAAGTAGATAAATTGGAAAAAATACCTAGAGTTAATTCTTTTTTAAAAAAAAAAAAAAAAAAAAAAAAAAAAAACCTTAGTACAGTGAATTCTCTGGAATTTTTCTACTGGGTGCAAAATAAACATGAATGAAAATTTTGAGCATACATATCGTTTCTAAGTTAATATGAAAATCCAACACTACTTAAAACAACTGAGCAATTCCCTAACTTTAAAAAAAGAAAAATAACGAAGTATTAAATTCTTTACAAATGTTTAATGGATAATAACACTTAAACTTGAAAAAAAGCAAAGAAAATATTAAGCTGTGACCTTCCATTTTCCGATCATTACATCAAATTTATCCCCCTAACAGCAAATTCAACCAAAACACCACATTAGTAGTTACAAATGTTGGCAAAAGAAAAAAAATTCTCAAAAAACAGGTACAAGCACATAAAAAATCTAATCACTTCCAAAAATATCTTTCATTTTAATTTTGACCATTAAATCTTAGACAAAACAAAAACCACTTTTCATTTATCGAAAATTTGTCAAAATAAAATTATCAATATACTCTTATTATAAGTAGTAAGGGTTCTTTAGCTTTTTAAATACTCCAAGCATGACCTATATGGTGGAAAAGTCAAGAAAAAAACTCTTAATTCTATCAACTAAGAATATAAATTTATTAAGATTATCAATAGTGAATGGAAGAATTTTATTATTATTTTTTTTTTGAATAAGAGTTTGAAGAGATTGCAGATGCAGTGCTCTCCTTAAGGGCTTTTAGCCCTGTCTGCCAGTTCACCAGAGTTGGCAAGTTTTTGACAATTGACAGTTTTATCCGTAGTGGCAAAAAAATCTTTGTTAGTTTTTAAAAAACTGTCAGAAACCCAAAATTTTGGCATAAGGATAATTATTAGATGCATATTAAATTACAGGTAATCAATCATGTTCTTGAATTATTTTACATTAAACTTTTTTATTTGATAATTGCAATGGAAAAAAGATTTTGGTGTAGAAAACATTAAATATAAATAAAAATATGTATAACTGCAATTTATCCAAAGCATTAATTTAATTATTGAAAATAAAAAGTTATCATTTCGAAGCTCTCTGTACTCAGAGTTCATTTTTCAGTTTTATATGAATAAGACTAACATTCAAAATTATTCTTTTGATTGCAGCTAAGCTGCATGGACTAGAATGTAGAAACTGTGATAACAAAATAAAATAAGATGCAATTAGAAAATGTATTCTAATAACTAGACCTGGAAATTTAAATTTTCAGTTTGTAATCAATGGCAGGCAGACTAATAACCTAGTAACCACTTTTTTCTCAAACCTAAGGAGTCAGTGACCAATATCGATAGATCCTTTTCATTGAATAGCCACTTTTTTAAATATATTTTTGCTTGGATTAAATATATATATTTTTTTAATTCAAAAATGAAATATGTGAATTGTCAAAGAATTCTCCTTCCATGCGGACTTTTTCAACACATTTAATGGATTTTGAAGATTTAACAATTTGAAAGGATACATTGGACAGGATACAATTTGAAAGGATTTTTTTTTTAAAGAGACCAGTTGTTTATTTAGTTTAAATCATAACTCCTTTTTGTTGACTCGCCACTCAACATGTGGTTACTTTAAGGTTTAGTTATAAATATTGAAAGTAAATTAATTAAACCTTGAATTGATTGATTTTAAATATTAACTTATTTAAACAAATGTTCATATTTTTTATAAATTATAATAGTTTACTTACCAGGAAATATAATATAGTTATGATTTATAGGAAATATTCATGTGCATATAAGCAGGGCACAAAAAATTTTGAGGTAGGGTAATATTTCCTTAGAACAAAGTTATTTCTTTAGATCAAAATTTCCTCCCATTTATTTTCTTTTTTGGTTTTGTTTGCATAATTTTCTCAAAATATTTTTTGAAAGTTTATACATTGTTACAAATTTTTAATAATAAAAACATATAAAATCAGATTTTGTCCAATTCTTGCATAAACAAGCATATATATTAAAAATACTATAAATCAAAATACATTTAAATAGCAATAATTTATTAAAGATCCTACCAATAAACTTAAGGTATCCATCTATTAGGTACTACTCACATTCATATTATTTTGTTATTTATATAAGGCAAAAAAAATTCTGATCAAACAATTTAAAGTGCAACAGAGTTAAATAATAATTGTTTTAACATTCCCTAAATATATAAATCTACTGTATCACTATTTCTTGGCGCTGGAGAATGACACATGCTGGGACATGTCATACCTTTTTTTCAATGCTTTTTTTGAATATTTAGCATGTAAAAATCCACAAATGGAATCACTGCATTAACAAAATCAGCTAAGCATTACTGGCTTTGAAATCAGAATAGTATACATTTGAGGGATATTTCCACAACTTGATTTGTCACCCTAACTGCAGCCTTTAAGGCGTAAAACAGATTTCAAACAAGCAAAATATTTTTAAAAAAAACATGTAAAGGTTTGCTTGGTGTTGGCTACGAGTTATACCCTTCAGTTGATTTCCGGGCAGCACAAGGGAACCTAACATGTCTTTGTGATCATTCACCCACAGTACAATATGGAAATCTTCTCCCAATTGATATCCTCACATTACTTTGCAATTAAACTCATTAAAAATACATGTAGCGAAAGTTTACTAGCTTTATTCATGTACCTTTCTATGTCTTAATTCTTCACATACTGGAGTTATTAAATAGCAAGCATGATTATTAAATTCACAGAGAAATACTTGCTAAATTACTTTTAAAATAGACGTAAGAGATGGAATAATTTAAATGTTGCGCACATACACACACACTAAATGAACAATATATTATAAAATATTGAGGAAAAAAGACAATACTACATAGTAAACGAACGATTGATAATTTATTTTATAAGATGTAAATTGCGAGAAAGTGTCACATACGCAGATCCACCTAAGATTTATAAAGTTTCACACAGGTTTAAACTAAACTTTTATTGACTGCAATAAAGCCAACGCTTTAAGTGAAAATGTTGCAACTTCACGAAAGTAAACAAAAGTAATAAACTGATGAAAACAAAGTAAAACATAACATAAAGAATATAAATGAAATGTACGGGCTAAATCTTTAACAATTTAACATTCATGTTTAAACATTTAATTGCGTATATTCAACACGTGCCTTGGCGCTAAACCAAACAACTTGTTGATAAAAATTACAATGCAAAATTTTACGACAAAAATGTTTTTAATGTTAAAAGTAATTACCAGAAAATTAAAAAAAAATTGCTTACCCATTCATCGCAGAGCCTTCAAAAAATGCACAATAAAACAAAATTCAATTACAAAGCTCGTCTTTGTTTGGTCAATATGGCGCGATTGAGAAGAATTTTATTTCCCTTTCAATCTTAGGAACAATATTTAAGAAAAAAACATACAAAAATATAAATTTTACGCACATGTAAAACAAAAAAAAAGTCACTACAAAAACAATAATAACGGCGTGATAACAATACTTTATTTTTGCGTCTAAAAAAAATAAAATTTTAATCTGCAACAGGTAGAGCCAAAAAAATCATATTTAATGTTGCCAACGGATCTATCAAAAAATTATAAAAATTATTTTCTTCTCCACTATGAATATCATTCTTATGCTAACCAAGAGCAATTCAGTTAATTTCAGGAAAATTCTTTCACAAACATTTTAACCACAAATTAATGGATTTACAAAAAATTGGTCAAAAATAGTTAACTTCTAGGTCCTTCCTATCGGTACCTTGGAAAAGGCTCAACCAATTTTTGTCACCCAATTGGCTATCCAGTAAGTCGTGGCTATAGAGACCGAAGCGAGAAGGAATTCACTGCAGGTGAATATTATGCTGAAGGGACAAGAGTTTTAATTTGTTTAGGATGGAAATACTCATTTTGTCGCCAATTTGGGTCCAATTGTTGAGGTGTTGCAGGGAGCTGCGGCTATCAGAGAGTGTCCAAAAGTCTTCAAAACAAAGGTCATTTTGCACGCTTGGGTGTCTGAAGAGCTGAGACAGTCTTCCATCTCCGGGTGCTCCAGTCTTCGGACAAACAGAAGCTGCAAATTACCTTACCATGAACCAGTTGACGTTTGTCATCTAACACTGGCTATTTGAGCACTGGAAAAATTCCCGTTAGATCAGTCAGTCTATTGAACCATTTTATCGGAAATTTAATTAACTATTTTATAGGACCTTTCGATGATCATTGAGTTTGGAAACATCAGAGTCACAGTTTCTCACGATGTTTTGTATTGACATGACCACGCGTTGAGGGGGGGGGGTTATCGACGTGATCCGCGCTTTCAAATCAAACATTTCTCTATAGCTGAATACTACTTAAATTTTGTTGAATCTAGAAGGCCGATTCATTCGTGGGTGCTTAAAATTGTCCTTGAACTTTTCTCTATCTTATTCATTTGTATAGTAGTTTGGGTCGACTTTTTGTACAAAATCAGTATAGGACAGTGCATTTTAAGGTCCTGGAATTTTTAATTTTAGTCCCATTCACTGCGAATGAAACGCAAATAAATAAGGCCTGTTATAAATTTTGATTAATTCAATTCCACATTTGTTGGGAAGCACTTCGACACTGGTTCTCCAGACATTAATGAGCTTCCTGTATTTTCGCAGTTCAGAAAAATAGTAAAATAAATTTTAAAATTTCAAATAGATAAAAAAAATCATTTTAATTTTAAATTATAAGTAAATAAGAAAGCATTTTTCTACAGTTTTTCATCTGTGAGAGATCCTTTTGGCTTTTTCTTCTGATACCCATTTCACTTGACTGTCAATGCACGAAAATTGAAAAATAAAGTTCCTTCAAAGCTCTATCTTTAAAATCCGTACTCAAGAGGCTTGATCAATTATCCCGGGGCTACTTAAGGCGTGGCTAAAATTCCTTAAAAATTATCTGAGTGTTTGTAATAATTAGTTTTCTATTTTTATTTACTTTTTTTTTTTTTGCAAAAAAATTACAGAGAACTTGTTCAATCCTTTATAAAAGCTATAATTTTGTATAAAAGGTCTCCAAAAATTCTAAAAAATATTTAAAAAAAAGGTTTTTTGTAATGTAAGAAAGAGGCCTGCAATTAATTTCCTCCTGATGCCCGTAAAACCTTTGTTGTCCCTTGGACATGATGTTAATAAAAATTTTGTTTTCTTCTTCAGGATAGAATCGACTAAATATTTAACAAATTATTTCTTTTCTCTTTGAATTCAATTAATTTCACAAAACAAGAAATAGACTGATTTCACCGAAAATCATTCTATTTTTTCCACATATAACACCGCCGAAAATTCGTTTAAAATCTTCATTTTTTAATACCTAGTCAATTTAATCAAGAAGTATGCAAAATTTCAATAATGTACTTTAAGAGCTTTTGAGAAATAATGTGCTGTAATGTGAGAATAATGAGCTTTTGAGAAATCATATCTCTCACAAAAATATTTTTTATGAAGCGTCACAAGAAATAGGGTTTTAACGGCTAAATTTTAAAAATCATTGGTAAAAAATTTTGCAAAATATTGTTAAAATTTTGTTCCTTTCTATGCTTAAAATTTTAATATAATATTCATTTTATTATATCAAAAATAAAACAAAGGTAAATTTGCGTTAAACTCACTGATGCTGAAGTGATTAAGAAATTAACTTTAATAAAATTTGACAAAATAGAGAACATTCAAAGCACAGCTCAGCAGAAAACGCAATCAAGCACAAAGCGCAGCACATTAATTCATCAAACCTTGCACATTTATATTAAAAGAAAATTTGTACAAAATTAAAAGATAAGAACGCTCATACTCATGTTTACAGCTTGATACTATTTTTACTAATGTTTTAATAATAGCAGAAAAAATTAGTATTATAACAACTAAAGACTATTTCATCTTATAAACTAAGCAGATTTAACAACTACATTCAAAATTTGAACGAAATTAAATTATTTCAATAGTATCTGAGATATGAAAAGTTAAAAAAGTCTTAATTTTAAACTTCTGCTTTTTGAGAATTTTTTCACTGGTGTTTTCGAATTTCTGCATTTTGTTTATTATGATGTAAATAGTTTTAAATCTCATAATTAAATATTTGTCGATGTTCAATCATTAACAAATAAACATCATAAGATAATTAAGTTGATAAAATTTCCTATAAGATCGATATTATTCTTTAGTAAAAACTGCTATGCCTACACTCAGACTTCCATTCACCAGCACGGTACATCAGTGCGCTTTCAAAACGGTATTGGAAAAAAAAATTGAACATTTTTAGAGGAATGAATTACAAAGTTGGCATTTTAATTGCAGAGTTGGCACTTTTTTTTGCCGGCCCTAGTTAAGTTTAGTGATAACCACTGGCTGTAAGGGGGAAAAAAAAAAACGGATTTTTGCAGTGACATACAATTTTAAACATTATTTTTAAGAATTTAATTTTACAAGTCAAAATACAAAATCTGAGCGAAATCGACTCTCTGATCTTATTCTTAGAATTCGAATGTTAAAAATACGATTTTTTAAACCATTTAGATTGAGCACTATTACGTGAGATTTCGATCATTAAATCAAGAGTTATTCAGAGTGGTCCATTTTTTTCCGCACTAAAAATGAGGTGAAACCTTTTTGGAATTTTAAATCAGTTTTGAAATCATTGCTTTATTACTATTATTTTTATTTATTTATTTATGTTTTTGAAAACTATTGAAAGGAAAAGCTAACTGCAGTAGAATTTTTGTTTCTTCTTGCACCTATGTTCTTGCATTTGAAAATAAGAAGGGCACTCTCTCTCTCTCTCTCTGCCATTTTATTTATAAAGATTTATAATTACTTTTGTAGTTATCTAATTATAAAATTTACCTTCCGTTTCTTCTTCTATAAAATTTATTTATATAATCTTGATTTCATTAACAATTTGAAACTATTTTAATTAGAGGTCATGATGTTAACATTCATGTACTCGTACTTTAATAAAGAGAGATTGTTTATCTTTTTCGCCAAAGGTTCTTTGTTTTCGGGTCTACTTGTGTCGAGAGCAAGTTCCATTTCTTCGCTTGAGAAAGAATGAAATTCATTTAGTTAACTTTTGTAATTTCCTTGAAGTTTGTAAATATTCGCGATCGCAACACTCGAATACGCCATCTGGGGAGAGACCGGTTTCATGCCTTTAGCCCTTCTCCCTTCCCTCGCCTCCCCTTTTCAGTTGTATAGGAATGTAGTACGATAATTTCCCTTTTCTTAATATTTCTCCTTTTTATTTAATGAAAATATTTTTTAAAATTTCTATGATACTTTTCTTTAGAACTATGTTTAATGTAGTTTTCAGTTCCATATAGTTTTTTAAGTTAAAGGATTTTAATCTATGTGAAAATCAAGAGAGAAACTAACGTGCTTCCTTCCTCTGTGACTTTCCACACGCTAATGGGGAAAGCATGTGAAGTGTTGCCATAGGAAAAGAGTTCTGCTCTACGCCACCTGCAGCCCATTTCGATCGCCAATTGTTTATGTACATTGGTTGCTTACATATAAATTAAAAAAGTCATTTTTCTAGATGAAATTAGTTGCGGAACCTTGTAGAATTGATCAAAATAAAATTTTATTTTTTTAGCATTTTTCGCAACTTGTATATCAAATTATTGCAGTTTTGAAGATATATTATAAGAACTATAAAAATGACGGGTAATAAAATAGTGAATGATAGCGAGTAATGAACGAAAACGCCATTTCTTTACACAACATAAGCGATTAAAACACTATATTTTTCAGACGATATAAATATAAAACGATTAAGGTAAATATAGTTGAATGGAAATTTCGAGCACCTAATCTTAATCCTCAATATATAGATTCAAAATCGATATCGATTACTTAATTCAGATTTTGCTATTCCGTAGTTCATTTGCGTTGCACTAGAGCCGCACAATGGGCTATTGGCGACGGTCTGGGAAACATCCCTGAGGGTGATCCAAAGAAATGCCATCACAATTTTGATCCTCTGCAGAGGGGATGGCACCCCCGCTTCGGTAGCCTGACGACCTGCACTCGAAGTCGAGTCCTTTACTGTAGAACAGTTTAACGAGGGCCAACATCACACGCACTCGGTCCCTCCGCAGACTGATCCAAGTGGTCACCCACCCGCACACCGACCGCAGCCAGTGATGCTTGACGTCGGTGATCTGCTGGGAACCGTGTCTTAACGATCAGTCCACACGGGTAACTAAATAGCAGTCAGTCGAAATGATTACTGGAAAAAGCAAAAAGTTAGATGTGGCACAGTCGACGCGCTTTTTAACAACGGACGCATTCAGGAATTAGGCAGAGGTTCCTGCTTGAAAAGTTCATCACAGTCTCTACCCACAATGCCCCGCAGTGTTCCTCAGAATGCTCCGGGGACACATGGAAAGCTTTCGGGTGAGCCCAGTGCCAATACCGCTGCTTCATAGCTCACTGCTGGTAATGCTAGTGAAGAGAAATTCGAAAGCACGAGTCCTTTTTCTATTGAAGCCTCTGGCCCTTAACGGAGGCACTTTGCTGACGCTGATGGACTATCCAAAAGCTAGCGAAGGAAAATGAGACAAAGGATGAAAGCCGTTGAGAGAGGTGGTGGTGTTGAGAGACCTAGGCCTCCGGACACAACATCTACCCTCAGTGTGCCGATTCAAACTGGTAAGAAACCCAGAGAGAACCCAGTTCCTGGGGGGGGGGAGGCTCAATCCGGGGAGGTGGTCTTTTTGGTGAGGATAGTCAAATCAGGGAGGGGGACCCCACCGGAAGCCTTCAATTACGCACAGGCCATCAGATCCTCCAAAATTGTTATTGTCAAGAGGGATTTTTCCACAGACAGGTTCTCTTTGGGGGAATCTGATGAGATTCGCAAGGAGATCTTGGCCCTGACTGACGACATCCCGTTTGGTGAAAGGATGCCCGAAATCTTCAGTAACCACCTGCTGAGAGGTCCCATGGTTCTCCAGAGTAGAAATGACACAGTGGATCGGATTAGAATTACACGATCAATAATTTCCCTTGTCGGGAGGCAACAGAACACGTCAGGTATTGCCGAGAAATGCAGTAGTTCACATTATATGTGAACTACTGCATTTCTTCAAGCAACACCTGCATTCACCCTAGCATGCAGGTGTTGCTTATTATTTGTTGAAGAAATATCTGTTCTCGTAAATCCAAATGCATCTTTAATTTGTCTATACCCATCTTATCTCCACAAGTTCCTTGGTGGTCTTCCGAGCTTAGTATCTTACGCAAAAAGTGTTGGAAGCATTTTAACAGGGCAAAGAAATCTGGTGAATGGCAAACCTACCGTAACACTCTCACGGCTTATAACAAGACTAATAGAGCGGCTAAATGTCGTTCTAGGTAGACTTCCTGCGATGGCATTAAAACAATTTCTGCTATCACAAAGGTACCAAAAATTCTTACATAAGACTACAGTTGCTACCGTAATGCTATTCAGCTTCCAAATGTAAAGTATAGTGAGAGAGGAAATGAAATGGCGAATTGCAAATAGCTCACCAATCCTGTAGAGAATGATACTCTTTACAGACTATGTGTAGTATGAAGTTCGCCACGATGGTGGTCCAAGTCTTATGAAAATGTCCTATGGGCTATTAAGTCTTCCATGCCCTATAAGTCGCCGGGCATGAATGACACTATGCCTGTGATGCTTATTAAGGGTATTGATTTATTTGCCCTTATTTCATGCAGGTTCTTTTGAGTTTGTGTAGCTTTTGGGTATATACCTCATTCTTGGAGGAATACCAGGGTAGTTTTAATCTCCAAACAGGGGAGGATAGCTACTTAGAGGCTAAATTATTTAGACAAATCAGTCTCACCTCTTTTGTTAGAGGATATTTTAAGGACTCTGTTCTCATTAATAAACCATTGCCCCCTTAACAGCATGCTTATCAGCCTGGTAAATCTACTGACTCAGCTTTATATGAGCTCTCCTTCTTGCTTCAGTAAACTCTTTCAGATAAAGAGATCGCTCCGGCAGTTTTTATTGACATCGAAGGTGTATTTGATAACGTCCCCCTTGAGATCATCAACAATGCACTTGAATCCAGAGGCACCAATTTGGTTATTACCAGGTGGGTATCTAATCCGCTGAAATCCAAGTTTCTCGGGTTTTGCCTTGATTTCAAACTTAACAAGGGTAATCATTTTGAATACTGTGTCCGTAGGGTCAAGATAGTCTTTTGGTCTTGCAGGAACGCTATTGGAAAAACTTGGGTTTTATGGGATTTACTCAATGATCCTTAGTCCTATTGTCACACATGGCGTCATTGTTTGGTTGTCTAGGACTAAGTTGAGTTTCGTCAGGTCTGGTCTTAACAGACAGCAAGATTGATGACTGATCATCCTTCTTTTATTATGCTCAGTGATAATTCATAATTAAGGTATATTTTTCATAAGCCTTTGAAGATCCATTTTTTTTTCCAGAGATGAATGACAAAAATCTCCTGCTCCTCGGTGGCTTAGGGGCAATTGTCTGGTATGGTACACCAATGGATCAAGGCTAGATTGTAAATCAGGGGCAGGTTTTACTGTTCCTAGGATGGCACCAAGCTTCACTTTACTCTTGGTAATTATGCTATCATCTTCTGCTGCAAGGTGTGAAGTGTTATTTAAATATATCCACTAAATTCTGTTCTGACAGCCACTCTTATATCACTATAAAGGTGTAAATCCACCTCTTCTTTATTGTGGGAGTGATATTCAGTCCTTTGCTATCTTTCTTCCCGTAACAAGATATACCTACATTGGGTAACTGGGCATATGGGTATTTCTGGTAATTAAATGTTAATTGATTAAGCAAAACACTTTTTAGTAGTTCATCCCAGAAAAATGAAGATTAACCATTATTCAGTATCATTATTTAAACCCAACTCAGGATGGTCAAAATGTATCATTGGTCGAACTCACTCATGATGGTCAAAATTGATTAACTCATGATGGTTGATGAATTAACAAGGGCCAGCAGCGGTGCGATTTTCTGTGGCACCGAACCAGCTTTGAGAATATCTCCCAGATCCTACAGGGCTTTTATTTCAAGCTTTATGGCAGGATTTACTAAGTTTCATTTCCAAAATTATGAAAAAATAAGAACATAAAAAAAAAGAAAAATAAATGAAGAAAAAAACATAAGATAAATTGTTAAAAATAATGCTTTTCTATTACACAGTAATCTTAAAGAAAATTTTTAAAACGAGTTTCATAACATAATTTGTTTTAAATAAAAGACACATTTTATTTCCAAGTAAATGTTTATTTATAACAATATACACACTACACTAAATATGTAGGATCAGTTTTCATCATTATGAACTGATGTTTGAGTATAATAAAATGTATGGCAGAACAAAGAAAAAAAATATCAATTTTTATTTTAAAATAAAAATTGCATCACTAATCAGGTCATCACTTTGGCTATATATATTGTAATCATCTCATCCTTAAAATTGTAACAGATTTTTGAAGATGTCTCAACTCTAGAATAAATTACATTATTACACTATTTCTTGATCATCAAGACTCAGATTCTTTTGCAGTCCATCTCCAAAACATTACCCTCATTCTATCCCAGACAGCTCCAAAAGAATCCACTGCAGGACGTACATCAAGTATAGCAAATTTCCCATTTTGAACATTGACCTGTCCACCATCATAATAGTCAATTATATAGCGGACTTCTTTTCCACAGCGATCAACAATCCAATCATGACGATCAAAAGGTAGTTCATAGCTATTAATAAAATATAAGCATTTAAAATATATGTATTTATTAAATGAAATTAGTTTATGAAACTAGATTAGTTTGAAGTAGCTAAAATAAAAAAGTGCATATTCAAGAACCATAACAACCTTTTTAGAGACTATATATATTTTAAGCCCATTTTTTAAAATATAAATTGTTAGGGCTGGGATAGCTTGGTTAGTAGGGCACTGTGCCCGTGTCCAAGAGGTCGTGGGTTCGATCCCCGCCGGCCGAAGACTCACGTGTTGTATATGGTGATTGATGCACATTAATCTGTTGACTCACAAAGTCCTCCATGTTCCCATAACAAATCATACCTCTCGGGGGTGCTGATCCAGGAATTTTCTTGTCTTCCAGATTGGTTCAAAATTAAGGCTACAGAATTGAACATTAGTAGTGGTAAAACCAAAAATTGGGTCGGCTGTTCAACGACGGTTATAAAATAAAATAAAATGTAAATAGTTACAATGAACGTTTGATAAAAAATGTGACCTTTTTTCTCCTTCAATTTAAATGATAGGGCTTATTTAGTATTTGCAGAATCGTGTTCTAAATTACTATTTTTTAATTTTTGTATTTGCAAAGCTCAAATAAGAATTTTGATTGAGACTTTCACAATAAACTAACATTAAATTTGGCTTGTACTGATTCCAGTAATTATAAGATATGTCTAAGCAACTGAGCGAAATTGTTTTCTTAAATTTTTATCTCACATGAACTAGAAAAGTTTGCAAACATTTCAAATATAAAATATGGCTTTCAACAAAAATCTGAACTTAAAATTAATATTTAAAAAAAAAAAAAAAAAAAAAACAGAAACTTTGATGTATTATTTCAATTCACTCCAGTAAAACAGCTTTAGTTACTATTGGATAGCATATTTTAGATGCACAGCAAAAGCTTTAGCCCTATTTTAGAGGGAATTAAACAGATCTTGTCAAAGTTTGTTTTATCATAATTAAATCTGGGTCAAAGCTTTAATTAAAAAATAAAAACTTGCAAAACAGAAGTATGTGGTACACAAAGACAATGAAAGTTATATAAAATGAAAATGTTTTTAAACGTTTAGTTTATAAAAAGAAATAAAGGCATGCTTAATCCAATCATGATAATGAATCGTTTCAGTGAAATTTTTAACTTTAGTTATATTTTAACCTGAAATGCTTACAAAGCAGAAAAAAAAAAAATGCAAGTAAAGCACTGATGGTCTTTTTGTGGCTAATTTTATACAACTCGAACTCCTATATAAAATAAATTACAATAGGATCTTTTAATTTATTTAGAATTGAAAACCATAACAAACTATACTGTACCATGACAAACAGAAAATTGCAACTAAAAGCATTTTACTATATGCTACCATGGTTAAGTATAAAACACTAATTATCAATTCCCTTAGAAAGTTTTAAATATTAAATTTTTAAAAATATAAAATAACTCTGAATTTTTAAAATTTTTTTTCTTCAGGAATACATTATTTTACAAAAGAGAAAAACTGATAACTATTATGAATGATAGTAATGAAAGAAATGTATAAAAGTAATAGTAGAAAAAAAAAATCATTTTTGTAACTTATTGACGTTTAAAAACAAAAACCATGATAATTAGACTACTAAGTTAGAGTGTTGAGGTTAGATTGTTGTTTGCGGTAATCAATTTAACTATTTGAAATCAGGCTTGTAATTTTAGTCATTAAAAATTTATTTTGATTTGAATACTGTATTATGTTCATCCAAAACTGATCAGAATGGTAATAAATTGTTTTCAATTAGAACTGGCCCAAACATCTCTTGTGCATCTAGGAGAAATATATATTCTTCTAATGGGTAAAATAGAATTTTTAAAAAAATATATTTTCAAATTAATCAAACATCAGTTTGAAGATAACAGGAAATTTTTGGTGTGCTGGATTAGGTTTCAAAATCTTTTTTGGTGGGGAATGCTTTTTAAGTTTTCTTCTTCCTTGAGGGGGGGGGGGATCGTTTTTTTTAAAGTAAAGTTCATTTTTTTGCAACTGAAATTTAAATTATAAGAGAAACACAACACAATTATAGCCAGAGGGCTAGTTGAAACAACATCAATTTAATTTATTTTTAAGGTGAGGATAATTTTTAAATCTTTTTTTGCTTTGAGATATTATTTAGATAATTTTTATTTTATCTTTATTATACTAGAAAAAAATTGTGCAGTTCTCAAAGAAATCTAACAAATTCTCATTTTTTGTAACAGTTGTGTTAAAAAGTCTCCTTTCAAAATAGATAAAAATTGATGCATTTTGCGTATATTATGGGTTATACTCTTAAATTTTAAATTAAATGTTTTGGTATCAGTTTACATAAAACTGGAAAGTAATCCCAGCATTAATGACATAAACGATCTTGATAGGGCAAAAGAAAGAAGTTTTCCCGAACATAATGAAGAGGAACAGTTAGTTGCAAAAAAAAAAAAAAAAAAAAAAAAAAAAAANAAAAAAAAAAAAAAAAAAGACCTATAGGTTTAGAAAAGTTTAAAAGAACCATTTCTTTCATATAACCAATTCTCTAGTTTCTAGACTATTTTGGGATTTTATTCAATGTTAGCAAGAATTTTTAGAAATTAATTGGCGGAAAGGGCACAAAGCAAAGTTAAACTTATAAAAACAGTCTCAGTCCTATTTGAGAATCGGTATTAGAAAAAATTGTGGGAAAAAATCACAACACAAATGAGCCTGAATTAATTAAATATTTTTTAATTACATATTGATGAATAATTTAAATATTATTAGATAATATAAAAGTGCTAGTTTGCATAAAAAAACTTCTCACATTTCACACTTTTATTTCAAACTCTTATATGAGCTTGGAAAAAAAATTATAATATCAATACTTACACTTATCATACTCTGATATTATACTTTGGTAAAAATAATGTTTTAAATCAATGATTTAAAAAAATAAAAAAACTGTATATAATAATGGAAATTTCCTCATATTTGCAAATATTTTTAACTTTATATAGTATTTATATGAGATATATAATTGAACACATATGAAATTTTAAAAACTCCTCTCTGCACACTTTAAATTAATCCTTGTACATGAATTAATTTTCTAAAATAATGCCTGGCTACATTTGAATAAATTTTTAAATGACTCAACAGCCTGGATGGATTTGGTCATTAAATTGATGGAATTCTTAAAGAGAACATTACATCAATACCATTTTGTGTGTCTGTTTTACATTACAATCTTTAGGAAACTCTTTTTCTTTTCTTTTTTTTTTTTGAGTTTTTTTTTTCATATTATATTTTTTTAGTTTCAATTTTGTCTTCTGAGAATAATGTTTTATAGAATATTTCAAACAGCAAATCTAACAGACGTAGATTATAGGTAATAGGTATAGATAAATAATACATATACTCTCAAACTTATACACATAAGAATATGACTTCACATATTTAAATAATTGGCAGAACTTACCCAAGCCAACTGCGTATCCTTGCTCTTGGAGAATATTCTGTAGCTTTCCCACCAAATTTCTTTAATTTAGGGTTACAACATTCACTGAAATATATAATTAAATTTATCAATCAATAAAACTTGCTTCAAAACAATATATTGAGTAAACACTATGTGTTTTAAATATTTGGATGGGCAATATTTTTTAACCATACTAACCTAGCACCTTCCTTAACTGAATGGTTGGTTTAACTTATTTTTATCGCACTGGGGTGTTCTGTCACATCCCTGTTTATTTAATGCAATAAATATTTTTTAAAAATTATACTTTTTCGGTAGTTTTTGTCTTTTTTATTTCGAGTTTTTCCCTGTTCCTTCTTGCCACAATGTAATTGTAATTATATGCAATGTATTGTCATGCAAATATGCAATGTATTCTCATATAAAATTCTGGAAAATTAGTGAAGGATTTACTGCACTCATTAACTTGTTCTCTCATGAAGTTTAATGTCTGGTACTTTTGTATCTTCATATTCAGAGGACTTTAAATGTGAATTACTATATTTGGACATGATCGAGACTTGTTGTACCTCACTATTCTAGCTCTTTTAATTACTGACTTCTTGACCTTCAAATTCAGTCGTAAGAAGAACATCATTTTTGAAGTTTACTGCAACTACTCTGTTACAAATGTAGTTAACTACAACTTCTTTTGTTTTTAATGTAGTGACTGCAAACTAGTTAGGAATTGTAGTAACTACTCCACTACTTTAAGGAGAATAACTTTGCCGGAAAATTTAATTTACAACGATGTTCAAAATGGTTTTGAATGCCTTACAATACATATAAGCGATTAACTAAAAAATATATATATGAGCCAGTTTGTTATTCCAAAACACTTTTTTCGAATTTGTTCATTTAACCTTTAACTTTATATGGCTTTTTTAAAAGTTAATATTTAATTTAAGAAATGCAAAATCATCAAACAATTGCAATTTTTCAATTGCTTAATCCTCCTTTATTTCCCATAAGAAATTAAATACATCAAAAATACCCTCTATTTCTTTGAAGTAACATCAATGTTTCACAAGTGTGCATTCGTGTTTAAAAGTGTGACCAAAGTGATTTATTGTCTATTTTTCGTAGTGGCTAGTTTAAATATTAGTTATATGTGATTTCAAATATGTAATTTCCGTCAAAGCTCAGTTGCAGCAGCAGGGTCATTTTCATTGCATTTATTGATGAAACCCCGGAAAGATTTATACCCATCAAATTCAAAAAACTAGTTGCTTTAGAAACTTTCTAAACTAACTAGCGTTAAAAGTAGTTGCCAGGAATTGTTACAAACTACTATTTTTAGTTGTTTTGCATCTCACTACTTTTTTAAAAAAGTAGCACAACTAGAAACTAAGAAAAAAAGTAGTAACTACAGTAGTTTCACTACTTGTCAAGAGCTACTTCCGATCAATGCTCAAAATTATTGAAATTTATTGCTGAATGCGCCTCTTTGTCAAGGAAAAGGCATGTGAGTTTTAGACTAGGGGCCATGAATGTCTCATAAACCACTAATGGCTCGCTGATGATAATTCACTGTCCTACTATATAACCAAGAAAACTAACTGAATATAGTCATAGAATGACACTCATTTCAGACAGAAATGAGTAACACAAAATTTGAGGATAATGTTCATAAAATGAATCAACAAATTAATGTGTTTAATGCTTTATTAAGACTTAAGATCTTGATAATAAAAAATACAGAAAAGAGCAATCTGCCTAAGAACACAAAATCAAGACCAAGAACACATTTGATGGATTAGTTTTTGAAGAATATTCAGAGAACTACAACTCCACTTTGTTGGAATTTTTTTTCTAGTGATAGCAAAATTTATGTTTTTCAGTCTATGATTATTGGTTTAATAAATTAGTTTTAAAGTGATTTCACCCTGTAGTTGATACAAATTATTCAAATGTATATATGAAATGCCACTTGGTTCCACTGATTCCACGGAGAAGATTTAAAAGTTTTGCCAAAATTGTACAAGATTTTGCAAGCTTCTGTTTTTTGTTTCTAAGACTTTACTACATTTTTTGCAGAAAATGGATTAGTTGACATATCTGTAACATGTCATAAATCATAAAACCTGAAAAACAAAAATAAACCTAACTCTTAATTCCTTGGATCCATCTTGCTACTGAATTGTTTAGCCTGTATTATTTAGCATATATGTGGTCCTTAGGAATTTCCATATTTATGGATGTCATTTTCAAGCAGGAAAGGTTGAAGACCCTCATTTAAAAGAATCTTTGACTAAGATCATTTCTGAATGGTCATTAGATGTTGCCCCCCCCCCTTATTTTACATAGTCTGTAAATTAACTCTGTTTAAAAACAATGTATTTGATAAACCAAATACATCTTTTAAATGGAATTCAATTTTTCCATATCTTGCAAATTATACACTCGTATAAACCAAACAATTAAGAATAAAATTATATTATAAATATTTTTAGAAGAAACTGTAATAATCTAAGAGTCACACATGAATTCGGTTTCTATTATTCTTTTTTCCTATGTTGATTCTATAGAAAACTTATTAAAATGATTTCAAACAAAAAATAATTTTTACAAAAAAAGCAAATTACTCATTAAATAAAAAGCATGGGAAGATAAACATCTACATAAGAGGTTAGAAATGTCAAGAAGACATGCACTATATTTGCCACTGGGTCTCAGTTATTTCCACCTTTTTTTTCTCTCTAATTGATTGAAGTATTTAAATTTGCTGTTATTGGCTGTTTCTCAAGATTTAAATCAATTAAGTAATTAAATACTATGTCACCTTTACATCTAAACTTCAATTGAAGCATATGGTTAAGTTCTATTTGCAATTATTACAATATGTAGCACTGATTAGTCAAGTTATGTGACAATTTTAATTATTACAATTGCCTATGATTACTAATTTATTTTGTTTATAATGTGATCAGTCTTTAGCGTAAAAATGTGTACATAAAACAAAATCTTACGCAGCATGAAGAGCCTCCCATCTTAAGACTTCTTCCCAGGCAGCTTCATTGTTTACATTATGGATTCTAATAATATGATCCATATCATTTGGATCAATGTCTGATTCTTTCCATCTCCACCCTTTACGAAGCATTGCATTCCAAAACATTTGAGCAGAGGGATAAACCCAAAATTCATTTTCAGTTCCAGCTTTTGGAATCGTGGACACTTCTCGATTTTTAGGCAAAGGAAATGGTTGACCAGGAGCGGGATTTTGATTCATAGGTGGCATCTAAAGAAAAATAAAAGGTATGTTAAAATTATATATATATATATATATATATATATATATATGCGTGTGTGTGTGTGATAAACAAAACAATCTCTGTGTGAGAAAATCAACAAAGGCCAATAGATCTTGATCCCTCCTTAATTAAACTGTTAGAACTATTTTGATGTAAAAGAAGAGCGTTAGTTGAAAATGTAAAAGCGAACCTGTGTGACTCGCGTCTAAATGAGCTTTTGTTAAATAAAGAATAAGTATCATCCTCATTGGTTTTTCCATTGTCTCAATTAATGGTCATCCTACGTACATATATATGCAGTACAATAAATAGATACAAAAAGGATAAAAAGAAAAAGATAAATAAAATTCAGAAAAATAGTAAGTTTTATTTACTGTGCATAAGTTGCAAGTACAGTAGGGAACCGATTATCCGGAACGATCGGGACCATCGCTATTCCGGATAACTGATTTTTCTGGTTTTCTGAATCGTTACAAAAAGCCGTTTTTTTATCATTAAACCCAACTAAAAAAAAGAAATATATATTTGGAAATTATCTTAAAAAGAAGAAAAAACGATGAAGTAATACACTAATGATTATTTCTAAACTGATGGTAAGGTAAACATCCTTCAAAAAAGAAAGAAAAATCCTAAAATCTTATGAAGAAAAAAACATCTTTTTAAAAAAAAATCGCGGGAAAATTTATCGAATTTCGTTCCGGTTCTTTGGTTTTCCGGTTTTCTGATTTCCGGATAACGGGTTTTGTACTGTATTTAGAATAAGTTCAAGTATAAGAAATAAGTTCAAAATACCGTGGAACCCGTAAAAGTGACCACCTGGGTAAAGTGAGCATCTGAGTAAGGTGACCATTTTCTACAAGTCTTATTTAAAGAGTCCTTTTTAAAGAGTCTTCATAAAATGACCACCTCTATATAGTGACCATTTGACATGGTCCCAAGGGTGGTCAATTTAGACAGGTTCCACTGTATAGAGACAATATGGAGCAATTCTCGGCAATTTCTCAGTGTGGAAGGTGGCACAAGGCCTCCAAGGAGGGTCGGGAGAAGGTCACCGTCGAGCCTTCTTCTGGACGCCCAACAACAGCCCGACCAGATGAAAACGTCCAGCATGTGCGTGAAGTTTTGAAGTCAGACAGTCGGTTAAGCATTCAAATAATCGGTAACACCCTAAACTTGTCAAAATGCGTGGTACATGGGATTGTGACGGAGGATTTGCAAATGCAAAAGGTCTATGTGAAGCTTGTGCCGAAGGTGTTGACGGAGGAGCAAAAAGAAGTTCGAGTTTTGCGCAGCGAAGAATTGCTGGAATTGATGAGCTGGTGCCCCAGCCTCCCTATAGCCCTGACTTGGGACATTGTGACTTTTCTTTGCTCCCCCGACTGAAAAGAGAGCTGAAGGGAAAGCACCGGGAGTCGGTGGAGAACATCCAAGCTCATGTTACAAGGTTCCTGAGAGACATTCCTGTCGAGGAGTTCGAGAGTGCTTTCCAGACGTTGCAGAATCGTCTCTGCAAGTGTATTGATGCACAAGGGAACTATTTTGAAGAATTTTAACTATTTGTACCCAAAGGATCAATAAATACATTTTTCCCAGAAAATGCGCATTACTTTCAGAATGCACCCTGTATACTATGAAAATATCCCATTGCTAAATATATATGCATTTAATTATTGTTATTAAGCTTACACTTCATTTATGAGCTTAGAACAAATATTAAATCATTCACGAACAATACATTCGTGCTGTTTTTTTTAAGTTTGAAAACACATTAGCTTTATAACAAATTTGTTAAAAAGCATTACTTCAGTATAACCTTCAAAATATTATAGTGTATATACTATAGAATTACTTTTTAAGTTGCAAGTTACCTTACAATAAGAGTCTTTAGGAAATTGAAAAGGGGAATGTAGAGGAGGTGAAAAGAAAGTTCATTGTATTCAAATTATCTACAGACAAATTAACAAAAGGATTGAATGTCTTTCTTATCTAATGCTATAAATATATTGAAAGGTATGACTTTTTTTAGTCATTCCATCATTACCATCATTCCATCAGTCTGCAAAAAAATTAGAGGCCTGCCCATCAGGGGTGGATCTACCTAAGGGCTTTTTGAGCTGCAGCCCAGGGCCCCGTGGATACAAAGGGCCCCAGTCCCCACTGAAAACAATAGGTGATATTTTGAATTTAAAAAAGATATCTAATATTAAAAAAAACTATTATGAGGTTGGCAACCCCGAGATTAATCAACTCATGCATGTGCGCGTCTATCGAAGGGAACGGGAAATTCCCCATCGCTAGTTTTTGGCCAGTGTATTTTTTCGTGTCTATTACGGGGGACTTCCCGCCGAGCCGCTTAACGTCTACGTAATTTTCTTTTCTCGCACTTCTGTTCTCGTCGTCAAAGTGACAAACTTGTTTAGTTTACTAACTTGTTTAAAAAATCATGAAGATTCTAATGAACATAAGAAACCAATGTTAGTGTGGTTGACACGAAAAGAAAATAGATCTGTTTTAGACAAGCAGCTTCAGAAACAATTAAGAAAAGAAACAGAAAATTATCACTATGTCCTAAAACAGGTTATTGCAGTGGTCAAATCTTAAGTATAAGGGACTTAGCATTTAGAGGTTCCGAGGAAGTATTTGGTTCTCCACATAATGGTAATTTTATGGGTGCTCTGGAGCTATTGGCAGAGTTCGATCCATTCATTCGTAAACACATTGAACAACGAGAGCTGCGACCAAAATCGATAATATCGTACTTATCAAAAACAGTATATGAGGAAATAATTGAGATTATGAGCCAACAGATAATTAAACAAATTATAACTCAAATAAATGACGACGACACAAAGTATTATTCAATTGTGGTGGATTCTACTCCAGATCTATCTCACAATGATCAACTTGCTATTGTATTACGATACTATTTTCGGGGAAAAGTGTATGAAAGATGTGTATCCTTCATTAAAATTTGCAGTCATACTGGCTTACATTTAATATTTTACAAGACGTTTTAGAAACAAATGGACTACTACTGGATAATTGTAGGGGACAATCTTATGACAACACTGCTAATATGGCGAGTCGCTACAATGGTGTACAAGCACTACTAAAACAAAGAAATAAATCCGCGGATTGTGTGCCATGTGCTGCTCATTCCCTTAAGTTGGTGAAGAATCTGTTAAGGTTGCAACCAAAATTGTGAACTTTTTTGGAGTAGTGCAAAAAATATACTTTTTCTTTTCTACTTCGACCCATAGGTGGGAACTGTTAAATCGTGAAACAAAACTCAAATTTACGTTAAAAAGTTTAAGACAGTCTAGATGGTCTTGTCACTATGATGCTGTCAAAACTTTGAAAAAAAATTATGATGACATTATGAAAATTTTCGAAAGTTTCAGCGAAAATGAGGATGAGAAAGTTGATTTTCGGAAAGAGGCACGAAATTTATTCAATAAAATGGCGAAACTCGATACCGCAATTTTGATTATTTTTTTGGGGAGATTTAATTTAGTTAATAGAAAAATACAGAGCCCTGGATATATATATGTAGATATTTGATATAATTGTGATATTTGTGAAGGCGACAAGTTAATTGTGTCATTGAAAGACTTCGTGAACATTGAACAACATAAGGCACCAATCAGATCAGAAGCTAAAGGAATTCGAAGAGAAAGCTAAAAAATTAAGTACTAGTGTGGGAATTAACAACAATGACATAAACAAGAGACGCATTACTCCAAAATTTTCGGATAAGTCTACGGCGCAGAAAAATTTAAAAGGGACACTCTAAACGTTGTGTTGGATAAGCTGATTATTGATTTAAATAAAAGGAGCCAAGTCTATGAGATGTATAGCAAGAAATTCAAATTTTTAATGGATTTGCAAGACGAAAATATGGAAAACATAGATCATGTACGTAATATTTTTTATTATTATCCAGAACACGTAGACGAGCATTTAATGAATGAGTGCATTCAGTTAAAATCTTATTTATTTCAGCCTAAGCCAGTCTTACACCTCTTGCAGTGAAATTTTTATGCTAATTTAAGAAAAGATACTTGTTGATGTTTTCCAAATTGCTATACTATCTTAAAGATTTTTTTAACTTTGCCAATCACTAGCTGTGAAGCGGATCGCTCTTTCTCCAGGATGTCATACATAGAAAACAAATATAGGACAACAATGTCAAACCATCGACTAAATCATTTATCAACTCTTTCCATAAATTCTGATTTAACGAAGGACTTACAATGCGATGAGCAAATAAAGGAATTTGCAGCACGAAAATGCAGAAAGGTTGCTTTATAATTTATACAACATAACTACACATAACCTGTCAATTTCTTTTGCAATAATGTTGTACAGTTGCTGTTTGTATACACAAATAAAAATAAATAAATAAAATTATTTTATTGTCCTATTTTTTTCTATATGCTTATCTACATCACTACAGAAAACAGTTTTTTTTTGACAAAATGGCTATTAGGGCCCCTAAGTAGTTTCAGCTCAGGGCCCCACAAATTCATGATCCGCCCATGCTGCCCATAATGAATTTTCTGAATTTTCCTTTTGAATGAATTTGCCTTTTATGAATTTTCCTAGAATAATGTTACAAACATCATACAAACCATGTTTAAAGGATCAATATCACTCTCTTTCAAGCCTGTAACAGGACATTCACTTTTAGTAGGTTTTTCCATTTGATCATGCTTGTAAGGACAACCTCCTGATTTAGGTTGTTGGTCTGATTGCTTATCTGACAGAGTAGATTTTTCTGAATTTATTACTTTGGTGGAAGGCATTTCTTGAACAGATGCAGAAGTTGAGGCAAGAACTGAGGAAGATGTAGAAGCCCCCATACTTCACACCTAGAATAAATCAATATAAAATTAAAATGAAATAAATGCTGAAATGCATCTGTATTGTGAAAATGTAATTCCATTGAAATTTAAAAAGCAATTAAATGAATAGTGCTGGAAATTTGTTTCCTGGAACGCAGTTTACCAGAGAGTATATGGGGAGGAGGAAAGATAAATTTAAACATTGTTTACATGCTTTGTTCTCCATCTGAGGATAATTCTAGAGAAGGATTACATTCCAAAACTACAATATAAATTAGGAAACTTAATAACACACAATATTCTGTAATGACCATTTTTAATATTTACTTTAAAAATTCTTCTTAAGAATGAAGTCAAAGAAATATGTATTTTAAAAGTCTAAAATTAATATGAACTAGGACAATGTACAAATGGAGACAAAACACTATGAACCACTTCTAAGGAGACAGAACTGAAAACTTCTAAGTCAGTTTAATTGTTAGAAATATTAGGAGTTGAAAAGTGTTTACTATAAAGTGTTTATCTATTCAAGTTTCATATAGAAACTAAACTGTTTTTGCTTTCAGTAATGTCATCCCAAGAAATGATTTGTTCGAATTCATTTTTCACTCTCTTAAATATTAATTTATGATTCTAATGTGTACATTCCTTTTACTTCATTTTAGATAAATATTAACAAAAATTACTCAAATTAAAATCCCGGCTAGCAGAAAAGAGCCAAAATGTCATACTAGTGCATTTTGGCCGCAGGTTGTAAAAAGCTCAACTTAATGGTTTTTTTTTAAAGTGTTTTATTGGGTTTCAAAGAAAGTTAATTGAGTTTGTATATCCTTTTTCTTTTCTTTATAGCTATGGAGTAAGTCTTGTAACTTGGTCTAAATACCATCAAGTTAAACAATAATTAAGCCTTTAATAATCATAATTATTTATACATTTTATAATCTAAGTCAGTTACATTGATAATTACGCAAAAAATTTTTTTAATGGCAATAATATGGTACAATAACCTTGGTACTTTACTTATACTATTTTTAAAATAATGAAAAACTATTTAATGTTTAAGTGAAGAAATAAATTATTTATTTCTATTCAAATAAAAGACATCAACTTTCAAAATAAATTTGTAACATGAAAATTTATCTGAACAATGGTGCATTGCATTACTTTTCCTTTAACAAATGATTTGAAAGGCAGAGAAAATGAAAAAATCTAAGTATTGATTTTTGCAAATTATTATTTTGCTGCATTATAAACTTAATATTTTGAGCTGATTTGTTTATAATAAGCTGATTTGTTACTAGTGTGACGTCGCATGACCCGAATATAGAGGTGTGCATCTACACATCTGTATAAACCTAGCTTAATACACTAGGTACCATGTCCTGCAGTTGATATTCGGTGGAATGATGTACAGCCTTGTAGAAGCCCAGAATAAAAAAAATACCATAAATATTTTCCTGATAATTGAAAAAAACTTTTTTTTTGAATTTTTAACATTATCATCATTGGAAAGCGCTTTCAGATTTAAAAAAAGTTGACCCTGAGACAAAGTAAGAAAAAATGTTTTTCATCTGTTTATGTTTTTAAGTCAGTTTTCACTTCGCTTTATTATAGTTTTAGGCATTGTGATTGCATTTAAAGGAAAAGCTTATGTTTCTGCATGGATTTTCTGAATATACATATATAGAAAAGTATTTTACTACTATGATAAATATTTAGGTGTCATTCGCGCCATGCTGTTGCATTCTAATTTTAAACTCGGTTGGAAGAATAAATTCATTTTTCTATTTTTGTTGTTATTGTTACTTTACGTCGCACTAGAGCTGCACAATGGGCTATTGGCGACGGTCTGGGAAACATCCCGGAGGTTCTATTTTTGCAATCGCTCAAAAACTAGATCCCTCTAATTTTATTAAAACATTCTTGAGAAGTTAAGTAAAATATTTTGTTAAATTGTAAATGCAAAATTAAAATCATAAAGTAATTTTTCATAAACAGTTTTATTTCAAATTCATAGGATACATTGGAACAACTTTGAGATTTAAATAAAATTATATTGATTATGTAATCTAAAGAAAAAGCTTGTTCCAGTTTGCTGTAGATTATTAATAATAAAATATGCGGAAAATTAAAATTTCCTTATAATTGCTTGTGTGAATAGTTAAAAATTCAGGAAAAAAAATAGGATAAATATAATTAATCTGAAAAACGGTATTTTATATTTTATTTACCTAGCCAAACACGCTGCTGGTCTAATGCGTTTGTTTGTTTACATATATTTAGCAATCACAGTTAACTATCATAACATGAGAAATATATACTGGAATGTAAGGGAGCGTTTGTACTGTACATTGTTAAATGTGTGCTGGTGAGAAACGATGCTGATTGGTGAGTTTTTCGTGTCAAAATAATTTCACCAATCAAGCTCACATTTTTTCTTAAATTGTATTTCACGCTGCGTGAATCGTGTGCAGTAAAAATAGCCCAGCAGTGAAGTGGAAATGGCTTTTTCTATATTTATCTTGCACTTTATGAATATGGCAATAAAAAAATTGTCGCAATTCGTCTGGGCGCTAAACATTAAATTTTTTTCTTATCTTTAGTAGTTAACGCACCGTCTTTTACGTGAATTACCATTTTTAAATTTTTAATATTGACTCTATATTATTATTAATAGGTAGAAGTATTGTAATTTTTTTAAAAATCTTTACAAATTTTTATGGCTGTAATAACGAAATTTAAGATGTTTGTTGATATAAAGAACATACATTGCTATTGATATTTGTAATTTTACTAATATGTTGTATATTTTTAATATACGTTTTTTTTTGATAATATAGTCCTTTTTTTGTTATATATTTAAAAAAAATTATAATCTATGTTTGTTATGTTTTTTAACATGAGAAAATTTTTTTTTTTTTTAGGCTATAAATGAGAGTTAAAAATCGTAAAATGTCTAGAAGAAGTTTTAGTTCAGTTCTAACTGATAAGAATCAAAATGAATATGCAAATCAAGAAAGACATTCTATGGATTCGGATTCTTTAGCAGAAATGGATGTCTTATTAGTTAGTCAAGATCATTTTAAAGATGTTGAAATTGAAAGTACCTCTATGTTAATGTGCAAATCTAGAAAACATAGTTCTGAGGTGATTTTCTTTCATTAATCTTAAAATTATGTGTGTTTAATTTTTCATTTTAGAATAATACTATTATCTATTTATACTATTTTCTTCCAACATTAAATTTTCATTTACAGTTCCTATTGCCCATTTTAAAAATTCAGAGCAAGATATATGGACACATGTTTTATAAAACTGTGAAAGTAATTTAACATCTTTGATGTGTACGTCTTTTGAAAGTACAGTATATGAATGATTTTTATGCATAGAAGTAAAATTTTTGTATGCAGTAACTATTTTTTCTTTGTCATCCATCTTTAAGATTACTAATTGTAAAGTTTAATTTTCTTTTAAAGCAATGCTTTCTTTCTCTTCTCTTATGATGCATTTTTATACTTCAGCTTTGATTGTTTTTACATTTTATTCAAGTTCACACTATGCATTTCTTATTAGTTTGTCTGAATAAATTATCTATCTAAATATAAATTCACTGTAACATTATCCATTACATATTCCATATTACAAAATTAATATGGCTTAACATAGCTTTTAACTGTAATTTTTCACATATCTTCTAATAATGTTGTAATACATTATTTTTAGGTTATTTTAAGGGTCATTCAAATATTATAAAAGGGTTCAACTTATGTTTTTGAAAATTCATATAGTGATCTACCATAAATTAATATGCATATCTGTAATATGTTGTTACATATGGCTTTATTGGAAACATTAATCCATATACAATGTTCAACTTTAAGTGAACTTAAACAAGGAGTAAAAAGGAACAAAATTACAATAATAAACACAGAAAACACATGACAAACGCATATTAATACAAAAAGAACACATAGAAAAAAAATTAAAGTAAAAAATATATATATATATATAAATATAAACAGTGAAGAATGAGGAGTAGTCTTTACCGAGAGTTCATGTGATCTCTGGCATCCCAGTAAAGTTTACACAGATCACCTCTCTCTTGGGATTGTTTGTCCAGTAAAGGGCATACAAGCAAGTGGTCTGAGTTCATGGTTCCCGAATTGCAGGTTTGGCACTCGCTAGATGGAAGGATACCTATTCTGTTGAGGTGCTCTGCCAAGCAGTCATGGCCTGTTGAGAGTCTGAAGTTTGCCACAGCCTTCTTACGAGGACTGTGACAAAGTTTCTTCCAACTGTTTTGGATGTTAGCCCAGGGTTTTCCAGTAGAATTTACTGCTTGATTGAGCTTTAGGTTGGTCTTAAGTTTCTCGGAAAATTGTTTCTTAAGGGAGTCTGGTGGAATCGGTTTGTTACATTGTGGTTCGAGTGTCCCTTTCTTGGCTAGTTGGTCTGCCTTTTCATTGCCATTGATTCCTACATGCGAAGGGATCCACTGGAACATAATAATTTTGTTGGCATTCTCGAGAAAAATCAAATTATCTCTAATATCTGAAATAGTCTGAGTATCTGAATCATGGTTTATGGCAATTGCCTGGATAGCTGCCTTAGAGTCAACAAGGATTACTGCTTTAGTGAAGTAATTGATCTTATTCTTAAGGTTTTCCAGGGCTATCAATGTAGCGAAGATCTCTGCATCAAAATTTGACATATAGTATCCCACAGGGGCGCTGTGAGAAAAGAGCTTACTGTGTACTCCTGCTCCGGTGCTGTCTTGTATTTTTGAGCCGTCAGTGTACACTCTCGTCCATTCTGGTTCAGGGTATTGCTCTTGTAGCATGCATAATGCATTTGTTTTTAGTACTGTGTCAGATATGTTTTTCTTACCCAAATCATTGACATCTAGTTGGTGCCTGACATCTATAAATTTGAGAGGGTTTGTGATGTTCTTGTTACAGATAATTGGCTCATCTTCTTGGAAATCATGCAGTAATTTTTCACATACCTCTAGAGGAGAGATTTGGGTCTTCATGGAACTTGGTTTTGATTCATTCATCCATTGCGCTCTATGGGAGGCTTTCATTTTAACATAAGTGCCAACTGCTTGTATTTTAATTTCAGTGGTAATTGGTGGATTAGAAGTATAGTATTGTAGGGCTATAATTGGGGTTGTCTTCACTGCTCCCGTAATGATTCGGAGAGCATTGTTTTGGGCTCTTTCCAAAGAGTCGAGCTTACCTTGTGCGCTAGAAATTAACACCTCACTTCCGTATTTGATAATTGGTTTGATATAGGTTTTATTTAGAGTGTGTTGTGAGCTTCCCCATTTGGCACCGGCTAGTCTTTTCAGAATTGAGGTTCTCTTTTCTACTTTGTCTATAACAGTATTGATATGATTGGTAAAGCTTAACTTGTTATCCAGTACTACACCTAGATATGTGGTAAGGTTGCTTTTTTCAAGCTTACTATCATCTATTATCAAATCAAAGTCTGGATTAACACGCCTTAGAGAGTAGAATTGGTAAACGGTTTTATTTTTGTTGATAATCATGTTATTCTCAAATCTGTAATATTTTTGGGCAGTGCCTCACGAGAAACTAAAAAAACATAGATGGAAGCTAACTTGAAGAGTATAATCTGTAACCATTCCCGAGCAAACTTTTACATGTTTTTTTTTTTTTTTTAAATTGCAAATTTGAAATTCATTCCATGCTTAGGTGATGGTAGTCACATTAAAAAATTTCAAAATTATATAATATCAATATTATATTTTTTTACTCTGTACTGTTAATAACTTACAAACAATTTAAAACTACTATTTATTTTTTATAGCATGCAAACTGTTTGTCAGTAACTATCAGCAAAATTACACATTTGTTTAGTTTAGTTAAAGGATTTTAATACGCCTACTTGATTTTACTTTATCAACTGTTCGTTTTGAGGTTGTAAGTAATATAATTACAATAAAAATAATTTGCTTATTAAAAAATTCATTTAAGATTATCAGTCTTTACATTTTGATTAAGATATTCTTATTTTGCTGACTTATAAAAGGAGACCATAAGAAATTCCTTTTTACATGTTTGCATAATTTTTAAATGTTCCGATTAATACTTCTTATTAGTCGGATCATTTTACGATGCATAATTTTTAAATGTTCCAAATAATCAGATTACTAACAATAAATTCATTTTTAGTTTGAAAGGGAAAATTTTTATCTTAAAGAACCTCAATCTGAAAAGGCAAAATTTGGAAATGTTAGAGATGACGCCGTTTTATTTAGAAGACATCAATCACCTCAACCTACTGGTATAGGTAGGTGCCTATTTTAAGTATTTTCATGCCGATTTTCAAATTTCGAGAAGGATAATTTTTTAAAGTATGTGTCTATACTTATTTCTGAAAGAAAGTCTGTAAAATTATGACAAGAGTTAGAAATGTGAAAACTTCTAACTATCTTAGTTGCAGTTAATGAGCATATTTGTTGTTCTGATTTAGTTTTGCAAAGTATGAGAGTTGAAAATCCCAGTTTTTATTTTTAATTATTATTTATTATTAGTCAATTTTATATGTATATATATATATTTCTTAGTTATTTCTCCATACTAATTATGTTTTCATATTTATTCATTTTTGAAAAGTTATTTGAATAGCCTACTAATTTTGCTTGTTTCCTACTGCATTTTGCTTCACTGTCTTATTACATTAACTTTTTTAGATAATAATCAAATGGTTTTTCAAGGCACTGATATAGAGGTGTATGTGTTATTTAGAATAAAAGTGTACGTGTTATTTAGAATAATGTTTAGAGTCTTAACTTAAATTTTTGTCTGATTGTTTTGCATATTTAAATCCAAATCTGCTTAATATAGTCTTTATTATTTGAATTAAATGCATGAATCAATAAAGAAATAATTATTTAATGACCTTATTACTTGTTAATTTTAACTCACTGCAATGTCTACAAACTAATTAAAGGTGTTCATATTAAAATTTAATGTTTTTATATCTCTAATACTGAGATACATATCGTTAGTTGGTAAATTCTTCTTATATTTAGATATTTGAATTCAGACTTATAAAAATAAACTAAATTATGCTCATAAGGAATGATAGATGCTTTCTTTGAATTATTTCTTATTTGTTAAAAAGCTTGTACTTAATTGACAGAAATATGGTGCACATAAAGCACAGATAAAGATTATTGAATTTCAGTATTGCTGACATACATACTGTTGTATGGTAAAATTTTTGAGTGAATAAATTGTACATTCTCCATAGGAAAGACACAAGGAAGATAAAAGTTTTTATTTTTTGTTGTCTTTTAAAAAGAAAATATTTCATTTATATCTTTGAGTATATTGTCTTTAATTAGTTAATTAATTAAAGTTTAGTCTGGAAATTTTGCATTTTCCTTATTGCGATCTAAACAATACATTATTTGTTAGTTATGAAAAAATATTTTTATTATAGTATTTTCTTTATTCGTTTAGATTATTTTTCGGTGCTCTCTGACGAAATTATATTGCACATTTTTAAGCTGTTACCTAAACCAGTTTTGGTAAAATGTTCTTCTGTGTGTAAACGTTGGCAAGAATTAAGGTAAATATTTTGTACCTTTTACCTGGATTGAATTTCTGCATGTAATATATAATATGTACTGTTGTATTTTGATTGATTGTTTATGAGAGACCTTTCATTGCAAACGATAGATTAAGGCAAGAATTAAGGTAAATATTTTGTACCTTTTACCTGCATTAAATTTCTGCATGTAATTTATTATATGTACAGTTGTATTTTGATAAATCGTTTGCTAGAGACCTTTCATTGCAAATGGTAGATTAAGGCTGGAATTAAGGTAAATATTTTGTACCTTTTACCTTCATTAAATTTCTGCATGTAATATATACAGTCATATATTGATCGATCGTTTATAAGATACCTAAATCAAGGAATGTGAGTGGGTCAGCATAAAATATCAAGAAATGTTAAAACAAGATGATTCATACGGAAAAACCAAAACTGCAAGAGCAATGGGTCAAAGTTTGACTATTTTTGAATACTCACATACAGTTTAACAAAATTCTGATGAATTAAGAGTAAAAGGTACAAATTGCTGACTTGTTCATTTAAAATTCTTTCTAAATTTCCATTATCACGCAAACTAGGTCTTTTATGAAAAACATAATTTTCTTATTTGTTTATTCGCATCAATATTGTTATAGTAATGCTATATAATTAACGTATCATTTTTCTAACAATAAAAAAATTTCAGATTGCTCATTTGGCTCAAAGTATTTTCTGTTTGTGATGTGGAGGAAATTTTAAAAGCAAACAAATAGCAAATTTCTAATTTGGATATATAATATAAATACAATTCAACCTGAATATGATGAATCTGAAGGGAGACACTAAAAATTTTGAAATATCAAAAATGTGATATTATAACAGAACATTTTAGGCAGTTTACTTAAATTAGTAAGTAACTGTAATGACATTTTTAAAGTTGTATAACATATATTTGAAACAGGGTTGGGTTTTTGACGTCAAAAAGTGGTTTTTGACATGACATGGGTATAATACTGGTTTAAACCGTCAAAAACCCGTCAAAAATGTCAAAAACTGAAGTTTGCCAAGAAAATATATTAACTTCAAAACTACCAACAGTTGCCATGCATTATATTGAAATTTAATTATACTATAGGTAATCAGCAGGTTTTAAAATATTTTTTTATTAAAATTAAGGTAAAATAACAGATTTAAAATCTCAGAAATTTATATTCAAATGCATGTGCAGAAAAATTTTGCACAAAAATTGTTTAAATATTTATATTTAAAAAAATTTTTTTTTTCTTTTTGATACTTAAGAAAATTAAAAGTTTATTACTATGCATTTTTGACATATAAGGAACATATAACTAATATTTATAAGGAACTTACAAGTTATGTTGTATAAATACAAACTTGATACAAGATACAAGTGTATAAAAAATTTTTTTTAATGTTATACCGAATATCTTTATTATCCAGTATGTTAATTTGAATTTAAAAGTAGTTATATTTATGAATAATGATAAATATAATTCATATTGTTTATTATATTTATTTATAATTATTACACTTATCATTTTAAAACAATTTTTATCTCTTAATTTTTTTTTCTCCACTTGTATTAAGAATACAAATAATGCATATCTTGAAAGCAAGAAGTAATTATTCAACAGCTGAATATTTAGATATTCAACAAAACTATATAGTATTCAGCAAAATGAAATTCACAAGTATTTGGATAAACTAAATTTTCAGCATAGTAAATGAATAGGCTGAATATACTGTAAATCGACACTAACTACTCTGTGTATTTAACAGAAAGCACTTAAATTTGTATTGTCTTATGTTAAAAAGATTATTAAGAAGATTTAAAAGAATATTAAAAAGATTTTTCTTTAAAAGATGTCTAATGTACAAAACTGCTAATGTTTATCTTTAAAAATGTCTAATTTTTAGTATAATCTATACTATACACTAAATTTGGTTATAAATAAATTTCTTAATAATATCACTGCAGATTTTCAATAACACATGAAAATGAATACATAATATTACAAAAGATGTGAGTTTTCAAAAGTACAAGATTTTGGTTACTATTCAAAATATAAGTGTTTCTTCAAAATTTTAAATTTATTTTTTCTAGAACATATTTAGAAACACTATCCTTTAAAAAATATATAAATTTTATGTATTAATTAAATTTCACATATGAATATAGGTTTTTGACATTTTTGACAGTGAGGTTTTTGACGTGACGGTTTAAACCATGGTTTAAACTGTCAAAAACTGTCACATGTCAAAAACCTGCCAACCCTGATTTGAAAGGTTCAAAGTTGTATAACATATATTTGAAACTCTTGTTTTGTCGTTTTTCCTCTTTTAATACATCTTTTGATGCTGTAAACTTTTAATATTTTTGACTTCTTAAATAGTAGCAAGGGTAAAAGTTTACTGTCTTTTGACAGATTTCAATCTTTTAAAGAAACCTTATATTGTTAATTTAAAAAAATCTTTTGTTAAATCTAAGTTCTTAATTAACCCAGTTATTTTTCGCTATGCACGTTACTAAGGCAACGGCAAAAGAAGAAAATAATTTTTTATTACTGTTGAAAGTCATGTACAACTTAAAAAATTAGGTAAGCAAAATTTTTTTTATAAAAGTTTTGTGTTCCAGGAAAGTAATTTTATTTTTTCCCAACACATGGCTTAATTGTATTTTATCACAGCCAACTTTATACTTAAGCCACCCATAGGCGTAGTGTGAGTTATGCACATTTTTTGTTTTAAAAAGGTGTTCATTTAGTTTTATGAATATATGTATATTTATTTTTTCTATGTATGTACATTTTTATATAAATGTATGTATTAAACTTAAAGTATAAATTTCTTAGAACAATTAGTGTGTGTCCCTCATGCTATGCCTTTGAAGTCGCACTCATATAGCAAGGCTTGCTTTTAAAACATTTTGATTAATTCTAATCAGTACTTTTTGGTTAGTAGCTTTTCAAATATGATAGTGAGAGGCAGAATTTTCAACATGTAGTATTTTTTTTGCAAAAAAAAATATCCGACATGCATGGAGAAGATATATCTGCAAAACGCCAGTGAAAAAATTGACTTGCAAAATTCTGATCTAGCAATTTTGATATTGAAGATGTACCATACTCTGAAAGACAAGTTAAAACTGATGAAGACACAATTAAGGCATTAATTGAGACAAACTGGTGAATAATTTATCGAATACGATTGCTTGTGTTAATTTAAAACCTCTTGGTTTAATCTCAAAGATCGACAGAATCATTTCTCATGTTCTTTACGGAAAGAAATTTGTGCCACAATTTGAATCTCAAACATCGAGAAAGTTATTCCTTTTTGAAGCCCATCATTTACTTTAGCCCACATGAAATAACCCAATTTCTATTTATCTGATTGTTTTATGTAAAATGCCAGCAGGATTGCAACATGTTTGAAATATGTGAAATCAATGAATCATGGGCAAATTATGTACAGAAAACAATGTATAAATACAAATTTATAGGTACTTATTATTAAAATTTTATAGGATTTTCCAAACAATGAAGAAGAAAATTAAAGATCGTCGGTTTCCTGGTTTAGCAAGTTTTCTCTCACCTACTTGAATAATTCTAAAAAAACGAAGTTCTTTATCTTTCTTTTAACTGTTCCTTCTCAGTTTCATCTTTCTTGTAAACTTGTGTCAAGAACTGAAAGTCGAAGGGAATGTTTAATTGATTTAGATTGTGTTGTCCAAATTTGATAGATATTATAGGATGTGTTTGTACAATATGAGACAGTAGTAATAAAATATTATAGATATAGCCTTTTTTAAACCTTATAATTATATTGGAATAGACCAAAACGTCAATTTAAAAATTGATTATTTTATTGAGAAATATTGGGGTCTGGAAACAGTATCTTAAAATTTTTGCTTTTAGTTTATATTTTATATAATATAAATTTCAGCTATGATGAGACTTTATGGAAAAGACATGACTTTGGAAGAAAGGTTGTAAGGTCAGGGACTTTGGAAATACTCTTGAAACGAAGAGTTTTAGTTTTGAGACTAGCAATGGCAGAGGTATGTTTATAATGCATTTCCCTTAAAAATAAATTACGAAAATTGATGAAAATGTATTTTATGTTGATACTTTCATAGCAGTAATAATCTCTAATTTACGTGCTTTTAAAACAATGTTTCTACTCTGTTTTAAAGTGTTTGTTAGTCATATTTTTATTTAAATAGTTGGCATTTTTAAGCAATTAGTTTTCATAATTTTTCTTTGAAAAGAAATATTTTAATTTTATTCAAATAACTATATTTGTTTTTCATAAACTTTTTTATTTATACTATTTAAAAAACTAGCTGCAAACGAAGTTATGGTTAACAACAAAAAAAGTACAGTATTTTTTTGTTTCATACTAAACATTTAACACATCAATGGTGTATTAAGTTAATGATGTATAACTGAACAAAGTAGGATAATTGCATTAAATAATGTTTAATAGTATTTTTCTTGATTTATTTTATATTAGATTCGTCCTCCTGTATTTACTGATGCTTACCTTAATATTTATCCTTGGTAAGATTTTTGACCTTTATTATCTGATATAAATTTGAATTAATTTTTTTTAAATATTTTGTTTCATAGACTTATTTTAAGTTTATTTTTTATTTTATGTATTCTTAAATTTTGTTCTCTAAATTTGAATCAGTGTTTAAATTTCTGTTTGTAGGTTTTACTTTTGCTTTTTTCCTGCACAATGTGCTAATAAGTAGACTATTGTTATAAATTTATTGTCATATAAAATTGTTATAAATTTAAATAGAATAATAGTTTCTGTTATTGTCTTGTTTTCTTTCAAGTTTTGTTTTGTAATTAGTCATAAATTTATTTATAAAATGTGGTAACAATATGAATGCAATTTATTTTGAACATTTAATTAGCAATTAGAATAGCTGGTACATCGAAGTCACAAACTTAATTTTAAATTAATCTTTTTTATTTTAGGCGATGCAATCTCCAATACTTAGATTTGAGCATGGCAATGGTTTCAACACAGTGTTTATCTGATTTACTTTCAAAATGCTGCTCCTTGAAAAAATTGAGTGTTGAACACTGCACTTTGAATGAAGAATGTTGCATGTATGTTTCTCACTATTTTTCATTTATTATTTATGATTGTTTAACACGCATTTATAGTTATTTTTATTTCTAATATTATTGATGCTCAAATTTGAAACTAAGTATTTTTTTCTCCCTTTTTAGTAGCATTGCTGAAAACAATGAACTTGAAACGTTAAATACAACTATGTGTGAAGGTTTTACACCCGCTGGCTTGCAAGCAATTAGTCTCTGCTGTAAAAAGTAATTTTGAATTTTTACTTGTAAAGTTGATTATATATTTTGCAATAATTTCCCTTGTTTTTATTCAGATATTGATTTGATGTACTTCACTTGGTGGATCTATTTAGTTACAGTATCCTTGTTTGCCCTGTCTAATCTCCAGGAAAGATTATAGAGACAATCCAAAACAGATTTTGATATTAATTTTCTTTAATGAGGAAATTTTTTTTCTTTAGTGATAGTAATATTTATCTACAGGGTGCGTAGCGTTTTTAAAAAGTGCTTAAAGGTGCTTATTTTCATTTTTTAAAAGCCCTTAAAGGTGCTTTTTTCCATGGGTGTTTTTAAAAAGTGCTTAATTTTTCTTTTCCGAAATGTGATATTTTTCTATACCATGTTGATTTTTGCCACAAATTATACAAAAAGACATTGTCCTATTCAATGTTTTCACAATTAATTCAACCCCAATCTATTTCGGTTTGCCGTCGGTTTGTAGTGTATGAAAACACCATGTGTTTTACATGTTTGATACTTGCGTATACTGAACTGAATTCACTGGTAAGGATTTTTGACTCTCATGTGCAACCCTCCTGCATTTTGCAGGAGATTCTCAATTTCAGACTTCATTTTTCGCCCTCTGTAAGAGAATCGAAAAATCTCTCGGATTTTGCTGATTACGGAACCAACTAAACATTGTCAATTTTTATTCTCTATTAGCAATAGAAAATTTCATTTTTCTTGCTAAATATATTGTTTGTGACTCGCCAGCGTCTTCGTCACTGTAAATAAAACCGAATAAAACCATCCATTGACAAAAACTTGCCAACCCTGTCTAATTATGATATTTTTCGCTGAAAAATTTGGATACGCACCCTAATCTATGACACCATTATATATTAGGCATAACTAAACAGCGATTCATTAAAACTTCTTGTTTCTTACATTACATAATGTGTTTATTCTTGTAAAAATTATCCAATAATTTGTCAGATTTTCTTCCATTATCTAACTTTTCAATAGCTTCTTGTTCTTTCTATTCCAATTACTGCTATGTTATACCAAATAACACAGTGTTCCATTGGTGCTTGTGTATCTTAAGAATTGTTGATTAATTACGTTTCTTACAGGTTTAAATTAAAAATTTTCCTTCATATCAAACATTTATCAAGTTATTTCTTTTAAATGTTCAACTGATTATAGTTGAATTTTATTTTATTAAAATATAAATATCTGTGAACTAATCTATGTCTTCAGGGGTCTGTCCAGACATTTTGTAAAAGGTCCGTTTTTGTAAAAATGTGCATGTGATTTGTAAAATGTGTGTGTGATTTGTAAAATTGTGTTTTTAAAAAAGTACAGTATGCAAAATTGCAAAATAAAAGTTACTTATATTGCTAGTTTACTTATAGCTTACAAGCAATAATACAAAATGTCCTAACATTTCCATTCAGATAATATTTCTTTTGTTTAAAAATAATATTCACTTTTGTGCAATACGCAAAAATCAAAATGCACATTTAAAAAAATTATCGAACTTTATTAATATGAAAAACTTTGGTAAAGCCTGTATGAAGCTTCAAATGTCATAATTTTTTTTTAAAAAAAAAGCGGGATTGATTAGTATGTGTAGAAAAAATTTCAAATTACCATTGATTGTAGATTATCTTGCACAGAAATTAGTGTATGCATTATTATTGTACGTATTAAACTGCATTTTCTTTTTACTTATAATTATTTATAAGAAATAGTACAAAAGTATGTTTCTAAAAGTAAATTTTTACTCCTTGTGCAGTTTGAAAGAATGGAGTTTAGCTTGGACAAAACTTAGTGAGGATTGCATGGATGCTTTTTTGCATTGCTTACCAACAAATTTACAGCGATTCAACATAAGTGGTCACAGAGAAACTCTAACTGATGCTGGTAAAGTAAAATTTATTTTATATGTTTGCTACCTAAGCTATTGTTTTAAGGAAGCTGGTTTTAGAATTACTTTTAAATCTTTAATGAAAGTTTTTCTTAAAATAATTTTGTATTTTCTCTAACATATGAAATACTGCTGTCTATATTCCGTTGAATATCTGACACCAAAAATGCCCAACTATTATTATTAAGTAAGTTTTATTTTTTTGTCAGATGTTAATATAAAAGTGTTAAAATAATGGAAATTTTCAAATCTCCGAAGAAAAAAAATTCAACTGAAATTTTTAATATCTGTGATGAAAGAGAACTGTGAAATTTTAAATTTGTTTTGAAAATTTTTTGAATTCAAAATAAAATGATTTGTGAATGCAATTTTAAAACTTACATTTTTTAATATCAGAAAAAATGTATTTCATGCTCTTGTGCAATTACTTTTATTTTCTCTATTCCTTCTTTGCAAATAACAAATGTGCTTACTTTGGTGAGTAACAAGAAAAGGCATTTAGTCAAAATTGTTTCTTATTGTCAATTGTTCTTGTCCATAGGTTAGTAAGAAAGGATATGTTTTATTTGTTAAGTAATGTATTCATTAAAATTTAAAAAAAAAAGAAAAAGAAATAATGATTGGGAAAACATTTAAATAAAGATATGTACATGTACTTTTTAAATAAGTTAAGATATAGAGTATGGGATCTCTTGGTTTAGCAATAATTTTTCGTTTCATAATTCATTTCGTTCGTTTAATAATTCAGTTTTGCTTCCCTGTATTTGGTTACAATAATTCTTTGCTTTCTATGGTATCACCTTCTGTTTACCTCAGCGTTTGTTTACCGTTATGAGGTTGTTTCAAGTTTTATTTTAATATAGATCTTGGTTTATTTCTAAATTGGTAAATATAAAAAAGGCCTCTGATTGTAAACTATTAATTTTAAGCGCGAATCTTTTATTATATTTTAATGTTTTTTTTTTTTAGTGAAAGTGCAAGATGAAGTCTAGTACTGTTTAAGCATGCGTTCTTAAAGTTAATTTATAAATATGTGTGGTTAATGTTATAGTTTTTAAAATTTTACTAACTGTTGAATTTAAGAAAGTGTTGTAAAAAAAGTGATTTTGGAAATTAAGACTTAACTACTCTGGCTTAATTAACTGCTAAAACTTAACTAAACAACAATTTTAAAATAATGCAAGCACCTAAATTTGTTTTAATTTTTTAAAGAGTTTTTTTTTTCTCTCGGCATGTTTCTATATGAGTCTATAGCTTCTTTTCAGTGCTAGACAGTACACATTTTGCAAATAACGCATTTTTTTTCGTACATCATTAGGCGTTTATTCAAGTCCGCAGTTCAAATTTCGTGAGTGGTAGTAGTATCATATCGAGGAAGGAAATTGAACTTTTAAAACTCATGTGAATGTCTATAGCAATAATAGTTGAAAATGCGATCAACAAAATCCACGGGGGATTTCTGGTAGAATATTTGCTAATCGAATGCATAAAAACATTTAGCATTTCATGGTATGTTATGTTGTTTCAAGGCATCAAGAAATTAAAAACACTCCATTAGTATATAGCAATAGCTGCTGAAAAAGTGAACTACAAAACCACATGGTGTTACGGTGAAATCCCCCCTAATCATATGCGTCAAGAAGTGATTCTTTAAATGGATGCTTCAATTTTGCAGTACATTAAGATGTAATTTTAGAACATCGAAATTTTTAAAATTTGTCTATTAATCTAGAACATTATCTGCCAAGAAGCGATCTACAAAACCATATAAAGAAAAAAGGGTTGATATTTTTCATTTTTAAAATATGTTGTCCAGAAACTTAGTTTTTATGATTTGATCATAATTTTATTAAAGGATGGTTAAAGTAAGTCTTAATATTGAAGTGATTCTCTTCTTGCAGATTTGATTTTTAAAAAAAAGCGACTGATTTCATAATCCAATGATTTTATTAGTGGCGGTAACTGTACTAGGCAGAAACTCATGAACGTAATTTCCTGGGTATTACCTTAGATTTTTGACATTTATTCCAAATTTTTTGTTAAAAACCTTACATGCAAGACTGGATTTTAGTAAGGCCTTTGACGCTATCTCTAGATGTCAAGAATGTTGGGCCTACTTCATTCAACAGCATTTATTAAAGTAACTTTAGTATGCGAAACAAAGCAAACATAGATTTTGTCAATTTCTTGTCAAAAACCCAATACTATGTGAGATTAAATTTTGCTTATGTTATTGCTTGGTATCAAAAATATTGTGGTGTACTTTATTTAACAGTCATTTATGGTTGTCAATTATTTGGCTTAAACTAGTACTAATAGCAAAATGAAAATGAATTATTCGAAAGAAACTGAGAATCCTTGTTTAATTATTGCAGCTCTGATCAAAGTTGTTAAAAGGTGCCGTAATTTAAAGGAATTAGATATAAGTGACTGCTCACTACTTAGTCATATTTCATTTGAGGTCTTAGTCAAGTATTGCCAACACCTGCAGCATCTTCATACTAGTCGTTCTTATAACATTCCCACAGAATCAAATAGGTAAGTACGTTTTTATTCTTTACTTGAAACTTAAATAAAAAATTGTTTTGTACTTTTAATATCTTTCTAAATCTTTTTTAGATATTTAATTTCATGTTCAAATGTTGTAAGTGTTTACTTAGAAAATAACTTTCTTAAAACTTATATTATGATTGACATTTGACCAAATATATTTATGCATATAAAATTTAACTGTAGGGCCCAAGGTAGAAATGAGAAGATTTGTTATTTATGTAACTTGGATTAGTGATAACTGTAAAATTTCTTTTAGGCAAGCTATTATATATGCTAATTAATATTTTATCCTAGGACCAAACTATAAAATGCTCTGTGATGAATTTTCTTTTTTAGATATTGTATTGAGCAATCTTTTATTTTTTATGTTGTAATCTTTGCACATACCAAAAAGCTATGTTATTCTTATTATAACTTCTCTGTATACCTGTAATTTAAATTTTTTATATTTTTTTTAAATGATTTTTTTTTTTAAATTTAAAATTTTGATGGTAGATGAAAAGTTTTTGTGAAGCGTGAAGCAATACAGTAAATTCTTAAACCAAGAAATGTAGAGATTTAAAAAGCCTGCATACTTTTTTTTTTTTTTCTTTTTCAAATGGCAGGCACTGAATAAAGCCTGCATACTTCAAGACAGAAAAATCAGTGGTGTTTTACATTCAGTATGTTAGCCAATGCTTTACAAAATGAAGTCAACAAAAATTTTTGTTTGAAAAGCTTAAAGTGCTATTAATGTTATTTAAAAATTTGGGTACTGTGACTTGTTAAATGTTTGCTTCTACTTCCAATTAAACATGTGTTATGAGTTTTTAAAACTGTCTCAACTTGTTATAGAATAGTTTTAAATATTCTATTGTGTTTTATTTTTCAGACTTCTCAAAAGTTTAAAGCAGTTCAAAAATTTAGAAATTTTTCAAACACTTACTGATGGAGCTTTAGCTGCTTTACGGGCATATTTACCTAACATTGCAATAAATAAACATATGTTTTCAACCATCGCAAGACCAACAGTTGGAATCAGGAGATCAAGTGTTTGGGAAATTCCAACAAGAGACTAGTGACAGTGACTGTTTGTATGCGTAAGTTATAATTTAATTTTGGTTTTTTTCTGGGCTTATGAGATGGCTATCAACTATGATAATAATTTTTAAATCACTATTCATTCAGGTATGTCACTGTGGTCACATGTATCCAAAAAAGAAGGAAAAAAACTTTTTCTCAAGTTTAAAAATATTTAGATTTTATTTGTTTATTTTTGGTCATCAAAAAACATTAAAAAAAAAAAATCATAAATATATATAGTTTTTAAAGTTTTAAGTTTTAGAATGTAAAATAGCAGTAAAAACATTTAATATGTATTCGTAAGGTCTTCTAAAATTGTCATAAAAAAACCTAACATTTTATTAACAAGTACAGATTTTTCTATTTTCTGCCGAATCTTAAGATTATGATAGGTTAAGATATTTTTTTATACTGTTGCTTTACATTTGTGGATTTGATGACTGAAATTTATGTTTTTTAAAAATTAAGTGCAAATTAAGTCCTGTAAAAAGTTAACTTTTAAAATTATTTCATTACATCTAAATATCTTTTAAATTGATTAACAAAAATTGTGACTATGACTATACCACAAAGACATTTTATCCACTCAACTTTGAATTTCAATAAAGTTATTTTATGATTTCCCCTACTGTTTATTCTTATCTGCTAAATACAGGGTTGCCACAGGCGACTAAAATGCGACTATTTGCTACTATTTTCAGCCTTAGGCGACTATGGCGACTTTTTTTGCCAGAAAAGGCTAAAAAAGCAACTATTTTCAGGAATAGGCGACTATTAGGAAACTTTTTTACTCTTAGCGAAGTTTTTTCACATAAATGAACGTTACTTTTCAGAACGTTAATAAAAGAAAGCAAACTTTTATACAATTATTAATGTCCAAAAAGCCAAAAATTTAAGTTTCCATTAGATTTAATAAAGTATACTTGTTATTTTTTCTCTCCGAGGGGCAGTTTTGTTATTTTTAATTGTGTTTTTCCTTCTATTAACATTCATATTTTAAGGCAATTCCATATGTGACGGAATGACATTTTGACTTGCAAAATAACAATTAATTGAAGTTTCTATGTATCTAATTTCAAAATTTTTTTTCTTCTCATGCATATCATAATTATTGACATAATGCGCTTCATAAACTAAAAAAGCAGGATTTTCTATCTTTTTTACTTTTAAATTTACGAACTTTTTATTTGCGTGACGGAATGACATTTTGGCAACCGAGCTTTTGGCATGCCGCTTAGAACTGGTAGTTTCTGCAAATTTTGCTGCTATTATTTTTCTGAACTATTTTATACTTTTAGTATAATGTGTAAGCAATGTAAAATGTGAATTTGGAAAATTAACCTCAGGTTGGCTAGCAGTTATTAACATCTATTTGCTGTGACGGAATGACCGTGACGGAATGACAAAAAGTTTAGT